TAGCAGCAGCAGCAGCAGCAGTGGCGGTAGTGGTAGCGGCAGCGGTAACGGTAGCAGTAGCGGTAGCAGTAGCAGTAGCAGCAGCAGCAGTAGTAGTTGTACATTGTGCCGGCAAGGTGGCACCGCTGGTCCATCTGGTCATCTTGGTAATCTTGTCATCTTGGTCGCCCGGGGAGTCTTGCTTTTGGGGCTCGCGGCATCTTGGTGATCTTGGCATATTTGCAGCACTTTTGCACCACTTACACCACTTGCACACCACCTGTGCACCACACGAACAAGATCACCAAGGGATTGCCAAGAGTACTGCCCCTTTGGCCCTCCTCCTTACGCTCGCCTGGCGCGCAGATCGGTTTCGGGGGGTTTAGGATTAGTAGTGAGTATTAGTATTACAAGTTTTACGGCTTTTAGGGTTTAGGGTTTTAGGGTTTAGGGTTTAGAGTTATGTGCGCCCGGCACGCGCATGGGTAGGTGTTTAGGGTTACTTACTGGCTAGGATTAGTGTTAGTATTGGTATTCATTCAAAAGATTAGTATTGGTGTTACGGGGGCCCGGCTAGCGCATGGATTTATGGAGTAAGGGTAAGTTGGTGATAGTTTATTGGGCGCATCGATTTAGGGGTTAGTAGTCAGCATGCGTATTCGTATTCGCATTAATGTTATTGCATCGATTTATGGAATTAGGGTTAGTAGTTATATTGTTAGAAGTATTCGTACGCCCGCCCTGCACGCATTGGTTTAGGGTTAGTAATTTGTATTCGTATAAGTATCAGCGTTTGCATTCGTATTAGTATCAGTATCAATATTAGTGATATTAGTGTTACGCGCGACCGGCGCGTGCATCGATACAGGGGTTTAGGGTTTGTAGTTGGTACTAGTTCTAGTATTCGTATCTACTGTTGGTGTTGTTGATGCTTGTGGTGTGCTAGCAATGCAGTGGGTGCAAGTGGTGCAAGATGGCCCACCCCCATGGCCCTGAACATACAAAGACACAGATTGCCAAGATTGCTTGGTAGTTTCCCGTCTCCCCCTTCCAAAATTTCAACCATGAGCGGATTGCTCCCCCCTCATCTGGGGTCTAAGCAAGCTGACCAATCTTACCCACGCTGACGGTTCCACTTTGCCGGCACACCGCTCCTGTAGTAGTAGTAGTAGTAGTAGTAGTAGTAGTAGTAGTAGTAGTAGTAGTAGTAGTAGTAGTAGTAGTAGTAGTACTAGTAGTTGTTGTTGTCGTCGTAGTAGTAATAATAGCAGTAGTAGTAGCAGCAGTAGTATTCGTAGTCGTAGTCGTAGTCGTAGTCGTATCGTCCACCCACACCCCATCCGTTCTGCCAGAGCATCCAGGTCCCAACCATCATGTCGTCCACCCAGACCCCATGCAATATCTTGCAAAAACACAAATCCCGCAACGAAGCTGGAAGGCAGTGCGAAGCGCTTTCTTGAACGACTGTGGCAGGGCACCAACAGCAAAAAACGCTGTCCTGGCCGAGACTTTTGTGTCATGACTTTCAACCCTGCAGTCAAGCTGGAATAATGTGCACCACACAGGGCCTAATCGCAACTGTGCGGTTCCGATGTAATTTCTGGAACCTGTATGAAGCCCCAACCATTCGTAAATAACGAGCAAAATCAATCTAACTCACACACACACACACACAGGTGGGTAAACGATCCCGTCGCAACCTAGTGGTAGTATTCGTCGTCGTAGTAGTAGTAGTAGTGAAGTGGTGGTGGTGGTGGTGGTGGTGGTAATAGTCGTGGTAGTAGTGGTAGGAGTGGTCGCAGGAGTAGTAGTAGAAGTAGTAGATGTAGTAGAAGTAGCAGTAGTAGTAGTAGTAGTAGTAGTAGTAGTAGTAGTAGTAGTAGTAGTAGTAGTAGTAGTAGTAGCGGCAGCAGCAGCAGCAGCAGTCGTCGTAGTAGCGTAGTAAAGCCAGCCGCACAGCAGCAGCGATCGTGGTCGTCGTCTTACTAAACTTGGAGTTGTGGTGCGTGCAGACACGTTTAATGTCGGGTGATCGTCGTCCCGAAAGCACGCGAAAGTTCGAGGTGCTGCGAATAGGAGTTCCTCAATAGTTTCACACATACGACACAACTGTGGCCTGCGAATTGGAGTTCCCCAAGAGCTTGCCACAAGACACTGTCCTGCAAAATGGAATGCCCCACTAGCTTGCCGCGGTTGAGAACCTGCAAATAGGAGTTGCGCAATAGCTTGATGCAAAACGGGTCCGGTCAGGCCCCAGCCCCCCAATCGCGAAAAAAACAACTCTACATGTTCTCGTGTCTGCTTCAGGTGCTGAGTGTGGCCATTTGCCCGCAGTACACCGAGGCGAGGCGGCCCGCGACGATCCACGCGTGAGTTGAAAGGCAGCTTCGTTCAGGCGACTCTGGGCTTGCGCGTCCTCTGCTCCGGCGGCGAGGACGTAGTCTTGAAGCCTCCCTTTGAGCTGTGCTCTCTCCTCTCTTTCTGTTTGCACGGTGCAGGAGGGTCGCCTTGTCCTCAGCCGCCGTGGCTCCCTCGCTGCTGAGCTGCATGAAGCCATCTTCGTGACCGGGAAGACTCTATCGTTAGCTTTCAGGAGACGCGGCATGCAACCCTCCACCACGGAGAGGCTGGTGGGTGATGCGCGCCACTCTGATTGCGGGGGCTGCAAAAGCTTGCTGCTGCAGGGTCCGATTGCAGCCGTTCGCTGGCGTGGAGGGCTGGTCGCATGGGTCAACAGCAAGGGTGTGAAGGTCGTGGATATCGAGACCTACCAAAAAGCCTCTCGGAGCAGACAGAAGTGGGGGCCCCCTCGTTCTTTGCTTCTCTTTCTTGCTGTTTTTTAAGGTCACTTACATTGCGCGGCCTGGTCCTCCAGACTCCGCGAAAAGAAGCAGCCTTTGCTGGCTGAGTGACGATGCTCTGCTCATCGGCGGGGACCAGGCCTGGCCTGGGAGTCTGAGCGCGCCCGTAACAGTGCACGCCCGTAACGCAAACTAAGGCACAAGGACGACCCGAGCACACTCCCTCCCTCCTTCCCTCCCTCGAAAACGAAGCCTAAGAGCAAGCAGTCGCGGTCTGCAACTATGCGCTTACAATAATGTCTCGAGGAGCATTATCATTTTGTGTTTCTCGTTTTGTTCTTTGTGGGGCTGTCTCGAGACATGGACTTCTTGACGGCTAGGGTTTCTGGGTTTGGTTTTGGTGGGCCTGTGTCGAGAATTTCGTTGTTGCCATCCTCCCCCAGAGTGCGTTCGATTTCGACTTGTCAGGTCGCGGTTCAAAGGCCACCATCTGTTCGTCTGCTTGTAGAGTATTTTGTATGGTAGAGACAAGCACAAGAATGGTCACGTGGTGCGTCAGGACATACTCCTGGCAGAGTTTCACGTAAAGCTGCCGGGTGAGGTAGGCATGATTTTGCTTTTTAGTGCTGGCTCTATATACGCTTGCCTCCTGTCAATGGACCTTGACGATGCATCCTGGTAGAACCTTGAATCTGAGGCTCGGGGGTCCATCGGGAGTGCGCTTCGCGCGAATATCGCAGCGCTTCGCCCTCTCAGGGGACTTCGTGCATAGCTTGGCGCAGCTGGACTCTTGGCATCGGAGCCTGCAGCACAGGGAGCATGCAGAGTGACGTGAAGTTGTGGCCTTCGGCCAGCCAACCCGAGGATTCTGCGCAGCTTCCAAGACCTGGAGCCCTATGTGAAGCCTTGAGGCTGTGGCCAAAGACAACGAAGCCGACGAAGACGCCAAGCTGATCATGCACTTGTGTGCACACATGATACATTGACATAGACTCCAGCATGACGAAAAACGGGACGGTGCTTTGCACACGTACATGTATACATGTATATATACGTACATACGTAGAACAACCAACACTGACCAAGCATACATACATGGCATGACATGACGTGACATGACATGGCATGGTATTAGATTGCACTACCAAGCATTACATTCCATAGCACTACATACTGTAGCACACGGTAGCATGACCTGATGCAACACAGCACGATACAACATAACACAACATGCATACATACGCGTCCATACACACAAACATACATACACATGTACATATCTACGCCTCTATGTCTCTCTATGTCTCTACGCCTCTACGTTCCTCTATGTCGCTCTTTTCTCTCTATTTAGCTCGCTCGCTGGCTGGCTGGCTGGGTAGCTATCTATCCTATCATCCCATCCAGCTGGTCGGTGCAACCTTTTTCTCTTTTTCTCTCTACTCAACCTCCACTATCTCCTGTGTCTACTCTACCTCCGGTGTCTGTTCTATCTACTCTATCATCGACGTTATCTATACTCCATCCATCTACTACCCAATCGATCCATCCATCTGTCTGTTCATCTGTCCATCCGTCTATCTATCGATCGAAAAAAATAATGTGTTTCCACTATCTGCTCTGTCTACACTATCAACTTGCTCTCATCTGTGCATTGTTCAATCGATTTAACCTACGTCGTCTATCTGCTCTGCTTACTCTGCTTACTATCAAGTCTATATAGTTTATTGAATCTAAGGAGTCCATCCAATCCATATAGCCTATTCACTTTATTTGAGGAGGTCAGCAGCGCGCGCTCGGGCCCGGCATTGTGGGCATCATTCGGCCTTCCGCACCCGGCATCATGAGCATCATGGGGACATGGTTTCCCTGCCACACGTCGTGCTCACGTTCCCTCACACACCGTCGCGTGACTTTCGCGCCGAGGTTTGCCCGACCATGCATACTTATGCGGCATGCAAACATGTGTTGGTACCTATCCACGTGTACGTGCATGCGTGCGACAATCATGCTTGTCGTTCTTCTGGTTCGTTCATGCTGTCTTTCAGATGTAATCGTCGGAGGTGTTTGTTTCTTTGTTTCTTCGGTAGGCACTCCTCTTCCAACACTTCGATGTTGGTGGTTGCAAGCTGAGGCCTCTCATGGCTGCGCTTCAGCGAGCTGTGGTCTCAAGCTGCAGCCGTTTTGCTAGAGCAAAGAACCGTCCCTGCAGATCCTTTCTGAATGTTTGCTTCTGCAGTTCTGATCACTTTAAAGGTTTTGTTTTGTTATGTTGCTGCTAAGGCTCTCAGACCTGGGGACAGCAGTGAAAGCCGGGAAGGCCGACTGTAGGGATGCAGAGACTCGAGGAGTGCGGAGACTGAAACTGCTCCCAGTTTTGAAATCATTGAGCCCAGATTCAGCCCACAAGGTCTTGCTTGGGAACCGCAAGCGGAGAATTGCGAGGACTGCGGCGCTGGCCAGCTTGGAATTTATGCCATGAGTATTGGACAACTATGTCGCTGAACGGTGCTGTGCCGGCTGCTTTGAGGAGTCGGGCGCTTCGGAGGTTTTAGCGTCGCTGCATGAAGCAAGGGGCACCTGGGCTGGCAAGCTTCTTGGTGCAGCGCAACCTCAGTGAAGCAATGCGACGAGAAAGCGTTTTCTCATTCCGAGATCTTGAAATCTCTGCGTGTGGCCTGCAACTCCAGACCGTCAAGCCACTGCAGGCGACGCGACGTCCGCCCTGAGGCTTCTTGCCGCTGCCGGCAGCCAGCGGGTCTTTGCACTGCTGCGGCGGCACCTAGGCCAAGGCGGTGATGTGTCTGATCTGATGTGATCTGAAGTCCCACAAAGCTCACAGCTTCAGCGAGGATCCCAACAGGGGTTCTTCAGCACCCGGAGGTGCAGACCTCGGGGCCGTTTCGGCCTTGCTGCCGCGGTGGCCTGGCCTTCCTGGATGGGACGGGACGGTTGGCAGAGAAGGGCGAGGGTGGACTCCTTCAGCGGCATCGGATTCTCGTGGTTTGACATGTTGTGACTACCAGTTTTGCATAAAGATGTGGATTGCTAAGTCTGTTCTCAGCCGCAGTCTTCCACCTGATTGGCATGTGCGTGCACGTGTGTGCCCACGCGCACGCCCGCGGGTGTGCTGTGATGATGTCATGACAGCAGAATTGGAGGCACTGCATGTTTCCGGTTATTGCACCAACTGCCAACTTGACAACTCACATGTTACCAAGGTTGATGTGAATGTTGGGGTTGGGAAAAGGAGAAGTAGCGAGCATTGAGTGTCGCAGACAAGACAGCATGCTTTGCAGCCAGCGACATTCGCAGCTTTCGCAGTGGTACAACCACAGCGGAAACTGTTCTAATCGCCGCGAAGCAGTACATGCGCACAGACACTGCTTGTTTATGAGAGGGATCCGAATCTCAGATCAGCCTTTTTTGGAGTTTGAGTTTGTGAAAAAGGCTCGTTGCACTCCATCCTGGTCAGATGGCCGACTTGGCAGTGCAGGGCTCAGCCGCACCAGTTGAGGCCGAACTTCAGACAGTTCTGGTCACGTCTTGAGCTCAGAGGTTCCTCAAGCAGCCACCCTACAGTCTACCAAACCCAAAACCCTGAACCCCTAAACCCAAAACCCTAAATCCAAAAGCCTGAACCCTAGACTTCCTAAACCACAAAGGGCCCTTTTTCCAAGGCGGCCCATCCAGAAAGCCTGAAGCCCGCGGAGCTGCTCGCAGCTCTGGCGCCACAGGGCGCTGCCTGGGAGCTGCGCTACTTGAGGCCACCAAGCGGCTGCTTCAGATGGGTGGTCAATATGAGGGTCCCTCTTTGGGTCCTTATTATAATACGGCACCGAGTATTTAGGGAACCCAAAAAGGGACCCTGATTTTGACAACTACCCAGATATCTTCAGATTTGCTGCACTGTTCTGATAGCAGCTAGCAGATAGTAGGCCTGCGTCGTGAAGTGTCCGATAGAGTTACTCGCATCAGCAACAGCTTTTGACGATCTGGCAAGCTAGGGCTTCTCAACGAGAAGGCGAAATTTAAATCTGTGAAATGCCGGAAGCAATGCAAGAGTCAGGAGATATGGGCTGTGGCAGCAACCTCAATGACTGACATGCTGTCTTGGAGCACAGGCTTCTCGCTGGGCGCTGTCCAGAGGCGGCCAAGGACTTCCGAGACCGAATGGTGCGGCTAACAGTCCGGGCCCGACGGAGAAGCGGTTAAGACTTCATGCTCATGCAGAGCTCACATGCCAACGGCCAGCTTGTCGACAGAGTCTGTAGTTCGACCACGTGCGGATGCCTTCGATGCCTTCAAGCACTTCCGTGCATCTCACGTGCGAGCAGGCAGAACGGCGGCCACATCATCTCAGGCAAGGACCATTTCGTGTAACCTTGCTTCATACTCTTTTCTGAGCTATGCCCTAACTCGTTTTCGTATCATCGATCGAAATCCGCTGCCACTACTTCTTCAAGGCTTCCTTCAGACATGTGCATGATTGAAATCAGACTTGTCGAGCGGCATTACTAGTCCATGCAGTCTCTCAGCTGCAAAATCCTCTTCTGTGTCTTCTAACCGATGTGTTGCTTACGAGATCCTGAAGGGCCCTGAAACCTGCCAAGCTGTCGTACAGGTTGTACATGTGCATGAAGCTGCAAACAGCCCATACCAGAGATTGTAAACCCCTGATGGATTTCAAAGTGTGAGATATCATAAAGCCGAACGCGTCGGCATGTTGCTTTTGGCCGATGGAGCGGATCGGGCAAAGCGATGTTGCTACCATCCTGGGTCGACTGCACCAGGAGCTCAAGTCTCAGACGCGCGACAGCAAGTCAGAGCAGCACCAGCTCATGCGCAAGGCGTTTCACTACGTCACGGCCTCCTTACATCAGCCAACACCAGGAACGGGGGGCGGGGGCGGCGGGATGAGGAAGCTAAGCGAGGTAACGCACCGAGTGCTTCAGGAGCTCTTTGCTCTCCTGGTCGGTGATAGCGGATTCGCTCCGCCCAGGATTCGAATCCTGAGCTCCGCACTTGTCCGTGAGCTTTCCTCCGGTGAGGTGCCATACTTCTTCCGTGACAATTTCGGGGGGAACTTCGACCACTATGATCACAACAAAGTGGTGTACTTTCTGCCTGTGCTGTCACAGCTGCTCAATGCAGACCTTCTGGTAAAGAACATTCCAAATCTGGTTACGTGGTTTACCAGCGAGTCCGCCAGCATCGGTCTCAAGACTGCAGCATTGACAAACCTTCTGGCAGCTGTACAGCGGTTTCCCAACGTCTTAGATCAGGATCAGCATATCCGGCCCATGGAAGCACAGTTCTGCAAGCTGCTGACAGGTGCATCATTGGAGACGCGGAAGACCACGTCCACGACCCTTTTCGGGATGAGGATAGTTTCCTCATCTGCGTCTTGCAACGTGACCGAAGTTGATGGCACGCCCACACGTGATTTCTTCACTTGCATGAACAATTCCCACGACTACTCCGAAGATCAGCTCCTGAATGTCAGTGTCTTCAGCTCTTTGTACTGTTGGTTGTTCTATCTCTACCAGGCACAGCTCCTGGAAATCAGGAAGCGGCAAAGCAGAGATGACATCGTCTCGAAGTTGGAGCATTACGGCCTGGTGCACGATGCCAGGATACCCACAGAGCCGAGGCCGAGGGAGCCCACAAACAAAAGCTCTTTGATCGGGCATTTCACCTTGGACGAAGAGTTTCGGGAGGTGGTCATAAGCATCTGCTTACGAATTTTATCGCAGGTTGAGCTGGATATTGTCCGTGACGGCCCACAGCAGATGCGGCTGGGTGCACGATACGTCATTTCAGAGCTGGATTGGATGAAGGAGTTTATTGAGGGTGTCTCCATGGAGGCTGTGCGCATACTCGACTTGTTGTGCTTAATGGATCCATCGCTGGTAACCCGAATCTTCCCGGCTGTCAAGAAAGTCTACGAGCGGACCGCCAACAGGCAAAGTGGGGTTGTGTTTGCTGCCGTCCTGCAGTTTTTTGTGAATCACGGACAGCACGTAATCTTTGATGTGGATCCTGTGCTGCACCACTTCTTCGAGGACTACGTGTCCGTAAGGTACAGGCAGCAGCTCTTGGCAATGAGCACCCTGCTCTTCCTGACAACTAACACCTCCAAGATGCTGTTGCATACCCCCGTGTTCCCGAAATACTACCCGGCTATCATTAAGCTGCTGGTCTGGCATCCCCGGACACTGGCAGAGGAGGTCTTGCCCATCGTTCCGGCAATGGTGGGCCCCAGCTCCTTTGCAGAGCTTTTCCATACTCTGCTGGACCTTCCGCTGACGGCAGCTTTCATGGAGCAGTACGAGAGGCCGGATGAGCCCCACGCTGACGCACAGATGATGCGTTTGGGTCTCGACAGGATGTCGCCACCCTTCAAGACTGTACACCAGTACATCATGCGGAATCAAGCCGGTGGTGTGTGCATCTGGGAAGCTCGTGATGAGGCGCAGCTTAGCATGATCCGCGTCTTGTGGAACTCCTTGCCCGTGACACCTCGCGTTTCAAGCGTCTGTAAGCTGGTGCCCCGGTTTTTGAGAGTATATTTCGACGTCTTGCTCAACAACGCGCCGCCGGAATGCATAGAAAGGGTGGTGCCGCTGCTACTGCAGCGTTTTGCATCACTCTATCCGGTGGACTTCTTCTTGAATTCTGTGCACACTCTCATCATAGACACGCTGCAGGCCATTTTCCAGCAATGGCCGGCTTTCCTCATGTCCCTGAAGCGCGAGGTGGTTCATGCTATCTCCACCCACTTGGATGTGCAAGGGCGGCTGTTGGTGCTCCATCTCTGCTGGATCATTGGAGAGTTGCTGCGGCCTCCGTTGTACGAGAATGGGGGACGAGCGGGCGTGGCAATGTTCTTCGAGGCCTTGGAGACTTTGGCCTACCAAGCCATCTCCATCACGGCAGCAGAGCCCGAGGAGGAGAAGAAGGAGCTGAAGGTAGAAAGCCGGGAGCCAGAGAAAGGCCAGGGCCCGGACGACGAGGCTACCGACGAGGGTGTCCCTGCAGCACCCGAGGTCGTCAAGGTGGAGTTTGCCGGCGAGGCAATTTTCTCACCACGCTTCGTTGCCGTCATCATTGCCTCGTTGACGAAGCTTGGGACAAAGTTTCCTGAGTTTGCACCCCGTGTGGTGCTCTGTTTGCTCAAGATGCAACAGCACTATGCCGCTGACTTCAGCGACGGTGTTGAATTTGTAAGAGACCGGCTGGCCGATTCGCTGCAGCTTCTTCGGCACTCTGCGATATCTAGCTCGGTTTATAGCTCCTCGACGTTCCTCAGTTTCGAGACAGATCGAGCTCTGTCGTCTGTCTCCGCCCTGTCATCCTTGGGCCACCTTTCCCATGACCCGTCGACCTATACATCCGGTGCGGCCCTGCATGATTTTGAGTTGCCACACCAACCGCCGAACATAGCGGCTGCCCTGGCAGACGACCGGCTGCCGGCCTGGTGGGAGGCCAGGGCGGCGCCCCTGAGTGCGCCAAAGAGCCAAGATGCCAGAAAAGGCTGAAGCGCCGCCCGAAACAGCAAAAGAGAGCACTGCTCGGCACTGATCCGTTTTGTCTGTTCAAAGCCAGGTCTGGGCACCTTTGTGTGCTGCTTGATAGGCCAATGCTCATGCTGTCTGCCTCCGATGAGACAGAGGACACCGCATCGCCGTAGCGAGGCAGCATATCTTCGACAGGCATGTGACATGTGGCACAGGGTACTCCTGATCCGAAGCAGAAGCATCGGTTAGCACGGGTCTCCAAAACTTTCGAGGAGACCTCTCCTCCGCTCCATGGCATGTGGTTGGAGGCGCAGTATCACTAGGTCAGCGGGCCACAGCCGGCTTGCAGAACTGCTTCATGCTGACTAGCCGCCGCGGTGTCTTAAACCTGCGTGCTCGATGTTCTTCCAATCTCGGGTTTGCTGATGTTTGGTGAAGTGACGGCTCACTTTCCGCTTGACCTGGTTGGCTTGGGTGTAGCTCTTGCAGCCTCAGCTTGAAGCTATCGCTACTTTGAGGAAGGGCTGGCACTTGCTACGTGGACCTTTGCATCGACACTTTGTGTTTCCTTTGAGAACAGTATGCTGCGGCGATGTGCGCTTTCGAGGTCTCTATTCTGAGGGAGGTTGATGGCAAAGAAATTTCGTCTGGGGAGATTGGAGAATGCAGAATCCTTGCTGGTGACGCTAGTCGCCACCTGTTGTCTTATAGTTAAACCTCACGGATTCGTCGCCATCTCCTTTGTGAGGGAAAGATTTCAGCTTCGAAGGTAAGACGATGGCTGTATTGCATCATAATACATCCTTCCGGCGAGTTGCATGGGGTGGGGGGCTATGGCCTGTGGGCCATTCTTGAGGTGTAACACACTTGTGTGTGCTAGGACAAGCCGGCGAACGTCGATCCCGCAGCTGCCTTTTGGGATCGACGTCGCCCGGCCTTCAAGCTTTTCTGCTAGCTGCCCCCGGCGCCATGTCTTCGGCGTCGTCGAACATCTCGGTGGAGGATGCCGCGGAGGAGCTCCGGCGAGCGATGGGTGAGGGAGCCAACCTGGCGCCCATCTTTCGGCGGTGGAGTACCCTGGAACGGAACGTGATGGTGGCCCAGATCTCGGCGGCCGGGACGACATGGTCGCCGGTTCCCTTCATGGCGCCACCGCCGGCGGCATCCTCCACCGCGGCAGCAGCAGACCTGGCGATGGCCGATCCCGCCCCGGAGCCTCCCGCTGAGCAAGACGTGCCTCCTTCGGCACAGGGAGGCTCCGGAGGCATGCAGCAGACACCCGGCGTGTCATCTTCTACGGTGCCTACATACCCGGCGAAGCCGGAACGGCCCCCACCAAAGGCCCCGCCGGCGGAACCAGGACGGTCTTCCCGCTTCCCCCCGGCACGGCCGGCAGATCCTACCTCGACCTCGGCGTCTTCTTCCTTGTGAGGACCCCGGCGGCGAGTTCACATGGACCCCCCCGGCCTGGCTCCGAGGCGTACCGGAGGATGCAGGACACCATTGCCGCGGAGATCGCGGCGGGAGCCTCCTCGACGGCATCGGCTGGGACACCGAGTACCACCCCGGCGGTATCCGCGGAACGGCCGCCTTCGCCGGCGCCTCCCGGCTTTGTCAATGTGCGGGTCCGCGGCAGGTGGTACACGGTGAATCGTGACACGGGCATGGGCTACCCGGATGCCCCCCGGCGAGTGTCACAGTCGGCGTCCCAGGCCGACAGAGAGGCCAACGACGCGGCGTTCCGGGCGGTGATGGAGATCTATCACGATCTCAACAGCCCGGAGCACGGCGCCCACCTGGAGGCAATGCACATGGCCGGCGCCAGGGCAACCTACCCGGTCCCGGCGGACATGTTGCCGTCCGTTGTGGAGTCCTGGAGAAGCTGGAGGAGATTGAGGACGCGGCGAACCTCAGCCCGGCCGGCTTCCAGGCGGTCATACCCACGGCGCCCGGCGCCGCTGACTATGTGATCAGGGCTCTTCCGCCCCACATTCGCGGCGGCCGCGTCCCGGAGAGGATCCCTGGCGAGGTATGGGTCGTGGGATGGTGTGGATGCCCATGCCCCGGCTATGACGGCGCACCTTGCCGGAACCGGGCCGGCAGATGCCTGAGGCCAGTCATAGTCCGGCGGCACGGCGTGGCCAACCTGGAGGCTCACACCGGCCACCTGTGTGATGGTTGCCGGCGCGCACGCAATACGCGCGACCGGCGGTACGAAGTACCTGGTCCCCGGCCGGCGGCACTTGCACGCGGATGGCGTCAGTGTCCCGGCGCGGCTTTTTAAATTAGTGCATTTTCTCTTTTCCCGGCGTCAGGATGCCTTCGCGGGCCTCTCCTGGCGACGGCGACGCATCTTCAGAGCTCGAGCCCTCGGCGTGGTAAGGCGCCGGCGGGTCTCACCTCATTTCACTGTACTGCCCGGCATTTTGTGAAAAGTGGGACGGCGATCGGCTTCAGACTCTCTTCCTCTGATTCTTTTTACCTGGCTATTTTTCACGGTCGGCGCATTCTAGCAGGGCTCGAGATCCGGCTCAACCCCACGCCTCGAGATGGCGGTCGACCTCTCGGCGCCGGGCGTTCGTCGATATAGGGGGCTTCTACCCCGGCTGCCCGCGGCGGGCGTGGCCTCCGTCGAAGAGGCCCTGGCGAAGGCGGATGCCCTAGTACGGGCCGGGGTCCCGCCCACGGTACTGGAAGACCTGGCGAACTGGCAGAGGTCACCACGACGGCCGGCATCCCAGAGTGCGGTCCCAACGGGGCCGGCGGCGTTGACTGCCGGCTCCGGGGAGCTAGCTCCGGCCCCACCCGTGTCGGGGGCGGGCGACGGGGCGGTCTCTAGGTCCGGGCCGGCGCCGACATCCCGTTCGACGGGCGGTGGTTCGAGCTTCGAAGCGGCTCGCACTGGAAGCGGCGCTGCCGGAGAACCGTGAAGCCGCCCTGGCGGAGGTCGAACAAAACATCCTGGCGCGCTCCTCCCAGGCGCCGTTCCAGTCCCGCGCGCGGACTTGGATCGAGATGTCCGAGTCCTGGGGCCTGGAGCCCTGGCCGCTGACGGCGACCAACATCAGGTCCGTCGCGGCGTCCCTTCGCCGGGGTGGTTACCGCTCGGCGCAGAACTATTTCGATGCGGCGGACGGACGTATACCAGGAACACTTTAACGGCGTTCTGGTGGAGCCCATCCTTAAGAAGGCCATCCGGCGCTTCTGCAGGGCCATCCGGCGAGGTCTGCCCGGCTCCAAACTCAAGGCGGCCTTTCCGGTAGATCGCCTGGCGCCGCTGATCGTGCCGAGCGCCCGGCGGCAGACCGGGTGTGGTCGCCCTGGGCCACGGCGCACGCGGCTGACGCCCTACTACTAGCGGCGTGGTTTATGCTGCGTGAGATCGAGTTCTCCGCGGCGAGAACCCAGGACCTCGAGGTGGCGGACGGCGAGGTCATCCTCAAGATACCTCTGCACAAGGTGGCCATCGGCGGCGAGTCGGAGATGACTCTTCGCCACCTCCGCTGCGCATGTCGCGCGGCGTGGGCCCCACTTTGCCCGGTGCACGCCGCGGCCCGCCACATCGACCGCCTCCAGGCGGCGGGCCTGTGGGTTCGCAATGGACCGCTCTTCCCGGACGGCGAAGGAGGCACCTGGAAGAAGTCTGAGGTGGTGCTCTTCTTGGGTTGGGTTTTATTGGTGGCGGGTGTGACCCTCACGACCTCGGACCACTCGGCAGGTTGGTGGTGGTGGAGAAGTACACCCAGGCGGCACTGCTGGCAGTGGCACCGGACGTGCCGGCGCGGATCCTATCTAGGGCCGCCCCCTTCGAGGCCGGCGGCCAGCCAAGGGGAGCGCAGCCGCGGAAGGCGCCCGGAGCGGGGCGACGGGCCTGCGGAGGGAGCGGCCCCGTCAGCACCGGAGGCAAGCCCGACCCACTCTCCTGCCCTGGAGTTCGTGCCCCGGCCCCTCTAGGACGATGAGGCCAGGCTGGCGGCCCCGGCCCCACCGGCCCACTGCATCTTCAACGCCAAGGGGCGGAAGGTCCACGCGGCGGACCCGGCCGAGAACACGGCGGACCGCTTCTTGTGGCGTGTACAGGGGTGCGGATGGCGCTACGGCATTAGGTCCTTTTATAGGATCACGGACCGACCGGCGGGGGCCGACTGGTGCCTTAGGTGTTTCCCGGAGCATAAGGACCCGGCACCCGGCTCGCCCACTGAGGAGGCGGAGTCACCGGTCGAGTCGAGCTCGGCGTCCGACGGCACGTCGTCGTCTAGCTAAAACAGTGACGCATGCACATGCAGTTTGCTGGCCCAGGCGCAGCCAGAATTACGCACCCGGCGCAGCTTCTTCGGCTCTGTCCTCGGCATACCGCTCTCTTCCCCTCCTTCTCCCGGCCATCGACTCGACGATGGCGGCGGCTCCCTTGGTGGCTTCATCCATGGTGGCGTTCGGCGACCTGGCCACGTCGGCCGGGGCCGGCCCGGAGATGCTCGCCTACCTGGCGGCACGCTCCTTGGATCGCACGGCCACCCTGGCGCGGCGGAAGTTGACTACCGGATGAGGACGCGGCGGTGGCGCAGGCGGTACTGCGGCACATGTGGTGCGAAGCCCGGCGGCAGTGGGAGCTCCACAGCCAACCTCCGGCGGCACCACCGGCCGCCACGCCGACACCGGCGAACGCAGTCCTCGCGCCTTTGCCGGCGGACCGGCCTCCCAAGAACTCGGAGTGGGGCCGGCTGGTCGACGCCTACAACAAGGTGTTGCTCGGCGGCGAGCCCCACCATCCGGCTCCTCGGCTCCGAGGAGATACTGGCGCGGATGTACTGGGAGCACACGGCGAGGAAGCTCTACACCCCCGTGGGCTTGGGGGAGCTCCTGGCGAAGCGGACGTTCTCCTCCACCTACATCGTCAACCCGTTGGCGACCCGGCGCTCGGCCGCAGCCTCCAGCCAACTTTCCCTGGCGGACGGGGCCCCGGCCACGGAGACCGACCGGCCCTTCACACCCAGAGGGGTATGGGGTGGTCGACGGCCTGGATGCGATCCGCTGGGCATGGATCCTGGTGGGCCTCGGCGGCGAGCGGGCGGTCAACGGCTATGTTGATTGGTGGATCGGCAAAGCCCGGCTTCGCTCGGCGCAGCTCGAGGCGGTGGCGGACTACTGGGACGCCGCGGAGCACCAGCGAGCAGCGGATATGCGCCTCGGCAAAACGTTCGAGGAGGTGACCACGGCCATCATGGAGGATCACGGCGCCTTCAACGAGGCGATGCTGGCGCCAGGACGCGTCCCAATCGGGGGGGCCAGGAAGCGGCGGACTCGGACACGGAGCCGACCGGGAAAGGCAAGGGCAGCGCACTGGCGCCGGGAAAGACCAAGCCCTCCACTGTGATGATCGCTGGGACGGCGGCTGCCGCTGCAGGGTGGCCAAGGCAGAGGCCAAGGCCAAGGCCGCCAGCAATGGCGAAGCCGCGGCGGCTGGGACAACAGCCAGGGATGGCAGCAGCCAGGAGCCGGAGCGCCGCCGGCGCTAGGGACAGCGCGGGGCCTCGCCGGACTCGGACAGCCACGGCGAGGTACCCGTCGCCCCACGGGCCGTTCGTCCGGCACTTAAGCGGCGCAGGCAGCACACCAGGTACATCCTCCTGTCGTTGTTCGACGGCGTGGGGGCAGCTCCGGCCATCCTTGAAGACCTCTACGGCGAACCCGTGGCGGCCTGGGCTTGGGAGCTGGACAGCACCTGCACCAAGCTGTCGTCGGCCCGGCTGCCCTGGCTCCGTCACCGTGGCGACTTCCTGAACGAGTCGGCGAACATGGTGGCGGAGATTCGCAAGGCGGACCCACAGAGGACGGCCATCCTGGTGATCACGGCGGCCCCCCCCATGCCAGGACTTCTCGAGAATAGGAGTGGCGGGGCACGCCGGCGAGCGAGGGTCCCTCTTCCTGAAGGCGGTCGACTTCGCGAACGAGATCTTCTCGGCGGCCGACGGTAGGAAGACGGTCTTCCTTTTCGAGAATGTGGTGATGGAACCGGCGGCCGCGGAGGCGGTGTCCAAGGCCCTGGCGGTTGAGCCGCTCCTGGTTTGTGGGTCCGACTTTGGTTGGATTTCCCGGCCCAGGCTTTGGTGGGCTTCACCGGCTCCAGGGACTCACCGTCAACCCGGCGACCGGACGTCCCCTTCAGTGGACCAAACAGGGCTCGTTTCGGCGCCGACGGCTGGAAGAGGCCCGGGTGACGGCGCAGGAGCTCATCACAGGGGTCCACGAGGCGGTGGCGGCGGGCAGGCTGAGACTGCCTTGCTCCACAACGCCGGCCGAAGACGAGAACGGCAGACCGGCGCCGAAGAGGGCACGCCAGAAGCTCCCCAAGCCGGCGAAAGCCAGGTGGGTGGCTGACGCCCGGCGGTTCGCACCATGGCACTACACGGAGGAGGCCATGATGCATGACACGGCGGGGAAGCTCCACGTAGTGCCGGCGAAGGTCAAGGAGCGACTGCACTGCATTCCCCCCGGCTACACGGAGGCGCCCTTCGTCGATGACCGCACCCGGCATCGCCTCATTGCCAACGGTTGGCACTGGGGGGTGGCCCGGCGGATCCTGACGATCCTCATGGTGGTGGCCTCGGCGACAGAGGCGACTGGATCCCCGGCGGGGGGCCCTCGACGCTCGACCATGCAGTGGATGGCGGAGCAGTTCGGCCCAACGGGGGTGCCCATGGAACCGCCACCCAGGCTACGACCGGAACTGGACCCGGCAGAGGACCCGCTGCTTCACTGGGAACTGTCCCGGCAGCTCAGCCACTGTACGGGTAGCCGGAGGCCAACTCTGGAACCGGCCCTGGAGAAGGTACTGGAGCTATGGGCCAGGTGGCGCCACGACATCTCCCGGATCCGTGGCGAGGTCCTCCACGAACTCCGGCGCTTGGTTGAGGACTTCGAAGATGAGACGGCGACCTGGCTGGCTGCCAGGTCGGCGCCCGTCCGGCAAACGTACCAAGCCCCCGGCAAGACCCGGCACACGTTGGGTACCCGGACGTGCCCGGCATCGCGGAGGACCTGACCAACGGCTTCCAGATGCTCGGCGAGCTTCGCCGCGGACCCGGCTGGCGGAACCGCACGGACGACCGCTACAAACACCCGGCATCCCTGCAGGACCTGGCGGCGGCGAACTGGCAGTATGTCAAGAGCCGCGTCGCGAAGACCCACGGCGGGGACTACAACGCCACCCTCCTGGAGGAGTTGGTGCAGGAGGCCCGGCTGGGGCGTGTCTTGCTTGACAATTTCGGCGCCGACCGGCTACTACCGCCACCTCCTGGCCAAGGGAACACCAAGTCCGGCGCGGCGAGGACTGGCGCAGGTCAGGCCACAATTCCACAGTCTCGGCGCACGACGTGCCAACGCACCACTTCGTCGACGACTACGTCGACATGGTTCGGCGGGTGGTGGAATTGTGGGGTCAACACCTGGCTGCGGCGGTCCGCCTCTACGGGCACGACCTGTTGAACGCCTACCGGCAGTGGCCGGTCAAGGATCCGGCGCACTCAGGCACCTTCCTTCAGGCGCCTGGCGGCACCACACTCTGGTTTCACATGGCGATGTGCTTCGGAGCAGCGGCGTCCGTTTGGAATTTTAACCGGACGGCGGACGCATTGCAGGCGATCCAACGGGTGCTCCTATGGCTCCTGGCGGGCCACTTCGTGGATGACTTCAACGGCGTCGACTGCGCCCCCTTGGCAGACGGCGCCTTCCACGGCATGGCGGACTTCTTCGAGTTGCTCGGCCTGCAGACCAAGCCGTCGAAGGCCCAGGCGCCGGCGGCAGAACAGATCGTTCAAGGAGTGCTGGCGACGGTGACGGAGGAAGGGGTCCTGCTGTCGCCCACGCCGGCGCGGGTCAAGAAGGTGATGGCCACCATCGACCGGGCGCTCGCGGAGAACGAACTGGCGCCACACGATGCCAACCGCCTGGCGGGACGGCTGAACTTCATCACACAGTCGACCTTCGGGGCCCTCGGCAAGGCGGCGCTAAAGCCGGTATACGCTCGGGCGCACGACTCGGCGGCCAACTCCTCGGCACAACTGTCGACTGGCTTACGGGCGGCCCTCAAGGCGCTTAGGTCCCTCCTGGCGGATATCCGCCCACGACTGGCGCCGTTCATCGACGACGGCACCCCGGAGGCGATCATCTACGCAGACGCCTACTACCAGCCCGGAGAAGTGCCGTACAAAGCCGGGCACTTCCCGGCGGAGGCTCATGTGCGGCCGGGGACCCGCGGCCGGAACGGCTGGGGCTACGTCGTCCGGATCGGTAACCAGGTCTTCTTCGACGCCGGCCACGCCCCGGAGGAATTCCTCGAGACCTTCAAGGCCCGGAAGGCGTTCATCTACGTCCTGGAGGTCCTGGCACAGGTGCTGGCGCTGGTGACCCTGGCTAGAACACTCCCGGCGCGGTGGATGGCGTTCATCGACAACGTCGCCGGCCAGTTCGCCCTATCCAAGGGCTACGGCAAGGACGAAACAGTGAACGGCGTCATCGCAGCCTTCTGGTCCACGGCGTCACTGTGTGAGTGGCTCCCGGATTTCCGGCGAGTACCCTCCAAGGCCAACATCGCTGACGCGGTCTCCCGAGGCGACCTCGAAACGGCGCGGAGCATGGGATGGACCAGGGTAGAAACTCCGCTGACGGCCATCCTGGCGATCCTCCAGACGTCGGCGAAGGACCTCGACTATGCGATCCACGGGGCGGCGGACGACCTGCTGAACCTGGCTTGTTGAGGGGGGCTGAGCCGGCGCAGTGTGGGGAAGGGGAGCGCCGGGCGGGTAGCTGAAGGCGTCCCCCGGCGCCGGCCAGCCCAGCTGAGCGTTGGCGACGGGTCCGGCGCGATGCGCTTCACACCACCTCGGAAAAAGGTGTCAGCCCGTCGTAACGGTTTGGCTTTCGGCGGTAGCATGGCTTGTCGTGTAACACACTTGTCTGTGCTAGGACAAGCCGGCGAACGTCGATCCCGCAGCTGCCTTTTGGGATCGACGTCGCCCGGCCTTCAAGCCCCGCCCTCTCCACCCTTTTTAAGATTATTCGATTTTGTGGACCGTCGCGCGCTGGCGGGCGGCGGGCCGGGTAGCTGAAGGCGTCCCCCGGCGCCGGCCAGCCCAGCTTAGCGTTGGCGACGGGTCCGGCGCGATGCGCTTCACACCACCTCGGAAAAAGGTGTCAGCCCGTCGTAACGGTTTGGCTTTCGGCGGTAGCATGGCTTGTCCTCGAACCGCTACGGCTACACAGCTACAGATGCTCCGACGAGACCCTTGGTGTCGGAGGCAGCCTGGACGGCCGGCTCCAGGGAGGCGACGGCGCTGGCGCTGTCCCGGCACTCAGCAGAGAGTTGGAGTATCTGCAGAGAGAGCGGTGAAAGTTTCAAGCCAGCCTGAGGCTTGGCCACCCGGAGCAGGCGAACTGCAGGGACCTGTCCGCAGCTCCACTGGTCGGTCTCGTCTTGCAGAGGCTTTCCACTTGCAGCTCTTTGAGATCGGGAGTGTTCAGGGAGCCCTAGACGTGCTGGCTGAGGCGCATCGGCTCAGATGCAAAGCATTTTTTGTAGGAGGCACATTGGAAAGCAGTGGCCATGGGTCAGGGAGCTCAAACTGAGGCTCACTGAGTCAAAAGGAGATCACACCATACTGGTGTGGATGTTCATTCAGATGTCTTTCGTTTTGCTGCTTGTCAATTGAATCTCTGTTCTGCCCTCTCTCCCTCCGTCTCTGTCCAGCGCCTTTCCCAGTCCATGTGCGGCTGTCTCGCTCTCCCTCTGCGCTTTAAGACGAGGGCACAATCCTGGTGTGGGGAGAACGGCAAGAATGGCTTCACAATCTTGTTAGCAGGCTTTGGAGAAGGTCGAGACTGGGATGGCTTCAATGTTTCCGTAAGCGTGAGTCGCGGATTCTCCGTGTCCGAGCACTCCGTGCGACTCTGCCGAACCCTCATCAGCTTGGGTCTCTTCCCAACTGAGAGGAGAAGTCTTTGGAGTCAAATCCAGGCAGATAGATATTTGCACAGATGGGTAGATAGGTAGATAAGTAGACAGATAGATAGATGAGATGCATGCATGCATGCATGCATGTATGTATGTACATGCATATTTAGGGCTGCTCTGCTTTATATACGTACATGTATAGGTATAGGTATCGGGTATAGGTATACGTATATGTATATGCATGTGTACATGTATATGTGGACATAAAAGTAGATGTAGATGTGTATCGATATGCATATGTATGTGCATGTATGCATATGGATATGCATATGTGTATGTATGTACGTATATGCATGTGTATGTACATGTGTATGTAAGTGTGTATGTATGTGTATGTTTGTGTATGTATGGGTATGTTTGTGTATGTATGTGTATGCATGTATATGTATGTATGTATGTATGTATGTGTGTGTATGTATGTGTATGTTGTAAGCATGTACGTAGGCATGTATGTAGGTATGTAGGTAGGCATGTACATATGTCCGTATGCACGCATGGTAGGTATGTATGTGCAAGTACTTAGGTATGCATGTAGGTAGCAAGCATGCATCAGGAGATTTATGTATGTCTTGATGTATCGTTTGTAGGTAGGTAGTTACGTAGCCATGTAGACATGTATGTAAGTATCTTTTTGAGTGTATGTTTGTACGTATGCATGTATGTATGTATGCATGTAGGTATGTACGCATGCATGTATGTGCATTCGTGCAGGAAGCCGATTACATATATATATATATATATATATGTGTCTATCTATCTATCTATCTATCTATCTATCTATCTATCTATCTATGTGCATGCGTACATCTACGTGTGGCTCCGGTCGAGGCCAAGCTCCCGGAAGCGAAAGAGCAAGAGCGGCAGCCCTGGACGCTTTGGGATTTTCTTTCTCAAAGACTCTGTGATCTGCCATGGCAAACCGATGTTGCACCCTGTGCCAGGTTGCTGCAGGAGCTGTGCGCAACAGCGATCCAGGATGTAAGGGACTCGCTCATCTCGCTGGCCACCATGAAAGTTATTCGATGTGCAATGTTGCAGCTATGAGCTCTTCAGTGCTTGACTTGGAGGTCAACTTTTGCTGTTGCGGTGCCTTTATCTGCAGCCTTAGAGTAGGGAGTGGCTAAAGCGATCGCTTCTTTCGTAGCTACCATACACAGTTTACTAATATAAGTGTATGTGTCGACAGCAACATGAATAGCGGAATATGCAGATACCGTGAGGTGCAGGCCATGCACTATGCACCGATGTCTTGACCAGGGCCACCTCTTCGCCTCTCTGCTAGCAGCGGTCCTCAGCCCATCCGGTGGCGTGCCGGGGATGAAGGCGGGCGCTGCAGGGTCCAACATCCCCGCCAAGCACAAGAGCTGGGCATGCCACGGGCCATGTAGGGGGGGAACTCTCGCTTCGGTTCAGTTCGATTCACAGAGAAGGTTTAGGGTTTAGGGTGCAGTGATGTATCGAAGTCCCCGCGAATGCTGAGTTGCCAGCTCCCAGTGCTGCGCATCCGGTCAGCCCTATTGTGTGCAGGTCTCCACCCTCTTCCAACAGCTGCCTCCAGGCAGGGCTCCCTCCATGTGTGCTGGGAGCTGATGGAGTTTCCGAAGTCCCGGCAGGCCTCGAAGTTCCGACGGCTGCCGTCGCGCTACTTCTTTCTCTAGCCTTGCCGGCCAGCATTAGGTTCCAAATGTTGCATCGCACCGACACCAAGAGATCAAGATGACAGCAATTACAAAACCCACCACCCCACAAACGAATCTTGTCTGTCTGCCTGTCTACATACATCCGCGCACAGGAAAGATCCGAAATGCATAAGCTGTGTTGGCCTGCCCGGACTTAACAGGACTGCGATCTCCACGAGCTGGCTCTGACAAGGCTCAGCAGCGAAACGGGCCTGCTTAAAAAGCAGCGAGATTTCAGAGCTGTTGAGGTGTTCTGGGGCTTCAGGGTTTTTTGGGTTTAGAGCTTTCCGCTTTAAGGTTTGGATGATTTAAAGTTCATCGGGTTTTCAGATGTCTGGAGGTCAGGGTTTTGCAGTTGGGGGAGTAGGCTTCTTGTTTTTAGGGTTTAGGGTTTAGGGATTGTGGGGTTAGGGGGTTGTGCGGTCAAATTGTGATTTAGCAGTCGGAACAAGCATGCTTCGACACGTTGGAGGCTCTCGGTAACGCGCCACTCATGAGCACGCGTCGTTTCTACGATTCTACCACCCCGCAGACAAACCACCAAATCTCGGCCGAACCACGATCATATCGTTTCTGACACTACGTTGAACTGCCGGCATCAGAGCGATGTAGTTCTTGCAAATTCAGCAGTGGTCAGGGCTATGCGTACTCGCATCAGCAGTGGGTGAGCGAGAAGCTGGCTCAGCAGCTGGTTGCTAGAAGCATGAACATCATTGGGTTGCGGTTGTGGCAAAACAAGGTGGCTTTCATCATGACAACCGTCCGGGGCCTGCAATCCAAAGAAGGGCAAAATCAGTGCCTCATTTCCAGAGTCAGAGTCCGCTCACTGCAGAAACGACCGCCAATAAAGACCGGATTCGCAAGCAGCAAGTAGCCCACCCTATCGGTGATAGAAGACAACTGCAGACCAGCATCATTTCTGGCAGGATGAAGCGGATTCAGCACGCGAATCATGACCATCACTGTCCTCTCACTAGAGACGAAAAACTAACAGCCGACAAGAGACAGAAATATGAGCATCACGAGTGTATCGTTTCAGAAAGGAGAAGCCAGCCGCCGCCCAGACTGGGAACATCCCGAGAAGCAGGCAACAAAGCGATATCATTGGGGTTTCGCTTCAAGCATCTTTCCGCCAAACGTACAACAGCGGTTTCACCAGAAACGCATTACCACTTCGTTGCTACAGCCAGAAGCCCAGAAGCCAGTAACAGGCCACCAAGCCAACAGGAGCCAGAATTGTGAGCATCGTCGGGGCATCGTTTGAACAATCGGAAGCAACTTGCCGCCCGGACCAGCAACATCATCAGAAGCCCGCGCCGTTTGCAATCAAGCATCCAACCCACATGCATCATCAAAGGCTCCTTGGTTTGGACAGCCAAAACCAGCAACAGCGGAGTTCGCACAAGCCACCAAGCCAACATGTGCGTCATTTGAGGCATCGTGTCAGCAATGGGTCAGACAGCTGTTCAGGTGTTGCCAAGACCAGCAACATCATGAGAAGATTTTGCAATGAGGAAGCCAAGCTAAGCAGCCAATGCGCATCTGTTTGCATAGCCGAATGCTGGCAACAGTGGAGTGAGCATAGGCCATACAGCGAGCAACAGCCAGCATGATTGGGGTTTCGTTTCCGCAAGCGAGCCAGCAACACCACGAGAAGAGCATAGTTTGCAACCAGGTAACCCAGGCCAGCGCGTCATTGCAGCTGCTTTTCTTCACACAGAAGCCAAGCACTCATCCGACTCACCCACGGTCCTTCAACTCAGTCAGAAGCCAGTGACAGCCAACTGGAGCCAGAATGCCAGAATCATGAGCGATACTGGGGCTTGCCCCCCAGACAAGCAACATCATGGAAATCAGCGGCTTTTGCAATCTGGCGACGGTAAACGCTAGTAACAGAGGCCGCCAATCCAATACGAGATAGAGTTGTGAGCGTCATTGGGGTTTCGTTTCAACAATCAGAAGCAACTTACCGCCCCTACCGCTTTCTTTCTCAGGCAGCCAGGCTAAATTCCTCTTCACTGGTGCTCCGTTCCTACGGCCACAAGCCCGCTCAGCACAGATTGCGAAAACAAGAATAGCAAGAATCACGAGCATCATCGGGCCATCCTTTCAACAAGCAGAAGCCGCCCTTACTCGCAACATTCCTCCGCGCAAAACCCCATGCTTCGATCCAACAGCCGGAGCAGTGGAGGCAAGAAAGACACCAAGAGCCAGAATCACGAGCATCATTGGGGCATCCTTTCGGCAATCAGAAGCATCTCGAGGAGGACGGGTGCTTCCCAACAGTGACATTCGAATTCACTCAGCGAGAATCATGAGCATCACTGTGGCAGGGTTTCACCAATCAGCAGCCGGCGGCCGCCCAGACTGGCAAAATCACGAGTATGAGCGATTGCAACATCTTAAGAATTACCGTTGTTTGTATTCTGACAGCCATGGTCAGTGCATGATCATCGATGCCTCCATCCCACAGCCGGAACCCAGCAGCACCCAGAATCATGAGCAAGACCGGGGCTTCGATCCAGCAATCACAACCAGTTGAACCCCCTAAAAAGCAACGTGAGTAGAAGCAGCCCCTATGATTTTTGTATGGAGGTCCGCAGTGTCCACGGTCAGTTTCGCAGTTTCCACGGTGTTCGGTTTCGGCAGAAAGCAGCATGCACGGGTAGTGTCGAAGAGATCAAGACAAGGAAGTCCAGAATCATGAGCAGGCCGTCGTTTCCCACCTCTGTGGGTCAGACTGTCAAAGTCTTTGTCATTTATAGAGCAGCGGTCCAGCAAGGCTGCAACCGACCATAAACGATTTTCCCTGTGACAGTTGCCATCGCTCTCAGGCTTCGCCGCAGCGCTGCGGATGCGGCCCGCGCGCTGCAGAAACGTCAGCGCAGGGGCCAGGCACGGTCAGGCCGGTGGCATCTCCACTGTTTCAACTGACTGATCAGACGTGCTTCGCCCGCACTCCGTGTCCTTCAGAAATCTCCATGTATGTCTTGGTGCTAGATTCATTTCGCGGCTGTGCGTAGTGCTTGGTGCTGGCGGTGGTGATGGTAGGTCACAGCCCTCGAGCTTGTGCAAGGGTGATGGTTGTGGAGTTCCACATGTACGAAATGCTAAGCTAGACAAGGGGTGCTGTGCAAGCCTGGCAGGCCATGCCGCCGAAGAAGCAGGATCGTGTCCGCGCAGTTTGGAACGAAAATTGTCGAGCTCATGGAAATTTTGACAAGATGCGGTCAGGCTGTTGAGATGGAATCTCTTTCATAAGTTTTGGGTCCCTGCGGAAGCCCGGTGAGATGGAGCCGAGGCGAGTTTGTTGCACGTTTCCGGCGTCCTCATCCGATCCTCAAAGCTTAGATACGGGGGGCCCCTGACCTTCGTCGAGACCGCGGGATGGCCGCCCAGGCTCCTGCTCCGGGAAGAGGGCGTCTGGTGGAGCAAGTGCTTTTGATGCTGGATTTCCGTCGGGGGGCACCTTCATCCGAGCGTTTCTTGCTTTCAGGAAGCCGGCGAGCTGAGCCTGTCTCATCCTCGGCCTCGCCGTGCGAGACGAGTCGTGGAGCGCGTAATGGTGACCTGAGGACTGTCCTCTACTCGAAGGCTGCCGGCACTCAGCAGCTGTCAGTTTCGGCGGACATCACCGGTGAGGTGCGGTGTGAACCGCAGAGCGGTGCGGAGTGCTGCCCTGCACATGCTTCGGCCCTGCAGGCACTGAAGGAGAGGCTTCGTGAAGCCTTGGGCCTGGATGCAGAGGCGGGCACCCCCGGGCAGGGGCATGAGAGATGTCCAGGACGGAAGACTGTCCTTGATTTACAAAGCCTCTCTTCCGGACATGCTTTCGAAACAGATGCTGGGTCCCTGGAGTATTTTCCGTAATGGCAGCATGCCGACCGTAAGAGAAACTTGTAAGAAGAACAGGCCTCCGGATCGTAACACCAACCCGGTGGTTCCCGTAACGGCGTGGGGGAAGTCCTTAACAGGAACCCGAGCCTTTGGCTTCAAAGTGTTGGGCTTCGGGTTACAGGGTTCAGGGTTTTAGGGTGGGCGGTTGAAGGGTTTAGTGTTTAGGGTTTAGGGGCTCAGGGTTCATAGGTTTTTTATGGGTTCAGAAACTTCACGTTGGCGACAAACACATGTATGTATGTATGTATGCATGTATGTATGTAAGTATGTATGTATGTATGTCTATATAGACATATATATATATATATATGTATATACATTCACGCAGAGACACATGAACGTTTTTGCAATGGCGTGTGAGAGACGCGCATAAGATCGGTTGTGTGTACTGAGTTTCCATGATTATCCATGTATCAGCACACGCACGTGTGGGTGCGTGTCCTACTGCATCGATATCTTTATCTTTATTTGTTCCTGTCTAATTCTAATGCTACGCAGCCCGCCTCGGCCGCCGACTGCAGTAGGGGCAGCAGGGGCGCAGAGCAGGGGCGAAACTGCGAAGGGCCTCTTAAAGCAGGTGTAAATTAGTTGCAGGGTCAGGGCTACTTGGAGAAGTGTGGCAAGTGTAGAGCAAACACATGCAGCAAAACGGGGCAACAAAACAGCAAAACGAGAGCTTCAACGAGGAAGCAGGAAAGAAGCACGCAAACGAAAACATAAGAAGAAAAGACAGTGGAGCCGGAGGCAGGCCGAAAGAGAAGAAAAGGTGAAAGAAAACGAGCAGGCAGAAGACAAAAAACAAGGGGAAGCCGGAGGAGGAAGGGGGGGCCGGAGGAGGAAGGGTGGGGGGAAGGGGGGGGGGAAGAAAACAAGCCAAAAAGAAGTGCACGAAAAAGTCGCAATGGAAAAAACACGCGAGGGCAGGACAAGACGGAAGGGTGGGAAAATCGGCCGGGGGAAGGCCCGGGGGGAGGGGGGCCGGGGAAGGGAGGAAGGGTCGGGGTGGGGGGAAAAGCACGCGAACGAAACATAAAAAGAAAAGGCAGTGGAGCCGGCCCGGGGGGGGCAGGCCGAAAAAGCCAAAGCACGCGAACGAAACATAAGAAGAAAAGGCAGTGGAGCCGGCCCGGGGGGCGGCAGGCCGGAAGAGAAGAAAAGAGGAAAGAACGCAACCAGGATAAAACAGAGGGGGGCCCAGCAAGGGGGGGGAGGAAGGGTGGGGAGGGGGGCCGGGGGAGGGAGGAGGGGCTGAGGGGGGGCGGGGGCGAGGGGCAACAAAACAGCAAAACGACGGAGCTTCAAGGAGGAAGCAGGAGAGCCAAAGCACGCAAACGAAACATAAGAAGAAAAGGCAGTGGAGCCGGCTCGGTGGGGGGCAGGCCGAAAGAGGAGAAAAGGTCGAAAAAACACGCGAGGGCAGGACAACACGGAAGGAGGAGGAAGGGGGGGCCAGCAAGAGGGGGAGGGGGGGAAGGAAGGAAAACAAGCCAAAAGAAGTGCAGACAAGACGGAAGGGTGGGAAAAGGGGCCGGGGGAGCGGGGAGGGAGGAGGGCTGGGGGGGGGGGCGAGGGGCAACAAAACAGCAAAACGAGATTCAACGAGGAAGCAGGAAAGAAGCACGCAAACGAAACATAAGAAGAAAAGACAGTGGAGCCGGGGGCAGGCCGAAAGAGAAGAAAAGGTGAAAGAAAACGAGCAGGCAGAAGACAAAAAACAAGGGGAAGCCGGAGGAGGAAGGGGGGGCCGGAGGAGGAAGGGTGGGGGGGAGGGGGGGGGGGAAGAAAACAAGCCAAAAACAAGTGCACAAAACCTCTGAATGGAAAAAACACTCGAGGGCAGGACAAGACGGAAGGGTGGGAAAAGGGGCCGGGGGAAGGCCCGGGGGGAGGAGGGCCGGGGAAGGGAGGGAGGGTCGGGGGGGGGGAAGCTTCAACAAGGAAGCAGGAAAGGAAGCCAGGGAGGAAGGGGGGCCGGAGGAGGAAGGGGGGGCCAGCAGGGGGGGGGGAGGAGGAAGGGCGGGGGGGCAGGACAAGACGGGGGGGGGGCGGGGAGGGGGGTGGGGGGAGCAACAAAACAGCAAAACGACGGAGCTTCAAGGAGGAAGCAGGAGAGCCAAAGCACGCAAACGAAACATAAGAAGAAAAGGCAGTGGAGTCGGCTCGGTGGGGGGGACAACACGGAAGGGTGGACTGGCCGGCCGGGGAGGAAGGGGGGGCCAGCAAGAGGGGGAGGGGGGGAAGGAAGGAAAACAAGCCAAGAGAAGTGCAGACAAGACGGAAGGGTGGGAAAAGGGGCCGGGGAAGCGGGGAGGGAGGAGGGCTGGGGGGGGGGGGGGCGGGCGAGGGCCAGCTTCAATAGAGCAGTGGAGCCGGGGCTGGCCGAAAGAGAAGAAAAGGTGAAAGAAAACGAGCAGGCAATCGAAAAAACACGCGAGGGCAGGACAAGACGGAAGGGTGCGGAACCAAAAAAGGAAAACGAGCGAGGAGGGCAGAGAGGAGCCGGAGGGGCGGAAGAGAGAGGGAGGGGGGAGGGGAGGGGGGCGGCAGGCGGGGGGGGGCAGGAGGGGAGGGGGGCAGGAGGAGGGGCCCGGGAGGGGGGGGCAGGAGGGGGGGAGGCAAATTCGGCAGCAAAAAAGGACGGAAGCCGGGCAAGGGGGTCGAAAACAGTCGCTAAAAACGGGTGGAAGTTTGCATTTGGGCTGCAGGGAGAAGGATTAGGTAGAGGGTTGGTTAGTATTAACCATCAAGACGCCAGAGGCCTTTGGCCTCGGCGGATTACTTCAGGCCTTACCCGTGGAGGACCGGTTTTCGGTCCTCTACGTTGCGAGCAGAATCGCCTGCCCCAGCCTTGCTGGTTTCCGTTCCTGTTTTGGTGGTCGTTCGTGTCATGCTGGTCGCCCGGTCGTTTCCGTCGCAGTGTGCGATCGGCTTCCGTTACTACCCAAAGCAGTTCCCTCTGCTCCCCGCGCCCAGAGGCTGGGTCCCTCCCACTTTCTTGGCATCCTATGTCCTGCACGCAGCCAGCTTCAAGAGCATGGTGAGCAGGTCCCAGCAGTCTCGTTCGATCCGACCTGTCTCAGGTGACTTTGGCGCTGAGCTTCCAAAACGGGCGAAGCCCTCATTGCACTGTTCGAAGCTGCGCGCCGTTTAGCACAGATCAGTGCTGGCGAGCCACGAGAAGCCTCAATTGTGCATGGCTGTCACCACCACGAGGTCACGGAACTCCGTGAAGAAAGTCTTGGAGGCGTCCTGCCTTGTGTTTCTCGCGCCCTTTCATGGGGCCAACCATCCTGGTTGGCAGTGAGGCACAGCAAAGCCTTGGCGAACAGGGCGTCGAAGCGTGGGGACCTGGCCTTTGGCAACGAAGAAGCGTCGCGCCGTCTCTTAGAGCGCCCCATGCAGCCTCCTGCGGTCTCCCCTCCCCCCTATCCCCATCCGCCGATCATCCGCCCAACCAGATGCATGCAAACCCGGCCCCTCGCTCAGGACGGCGCTTCGGTGACAGTTAAGGCTGACGCCGTGGAGGCTTTCCTGCAACGGTTCAAAGGAACTGGTTGAAAAGGGCTGGCTAGGCTAGGCTGTGCTTCGCGCAGACGTGGACTTTGAGTTAGGAGTCTTGCAGGGTTCGCATTCAGCCGGTTTCTTAGCTTTCGTTTCGGTGGCTTGATTAAAGTAAACAATCTAAAAAGAGACAGATGGATATAGTGTTGTTCGAGTTTTCCACGGCTCGTATTACCTCGGCGGAGCCAGCTCAAAAAGCAGATACACGTAGCTTTTCCGCAAGGACGAAGGTCAACGGCTTGCTGCCATTCTCAGACTTTGTATCGAAAGGTTCGGCCGGAGAACTCCTTCCTTCGGGAGTCTATTCGCAACAACGGTGGCAACAGTGCTTTGGTCGCATTTGAGGTTTTTGGTTTCACTGGAAGGGCAGTCCCCGAGAAGTGTTCCACATGGCAAGGCTACTACTATGCGCACGCCAACGAAAAGGCTGGAGTTGGTGGCTTCAGCGCAATGGTTGCAGGATTTTGTGGGAAGTTGAGGAGCTTCCACCGGAGCTCCGCTATGTCTATGGGGGCGAGCCCATCAAGCTTGAGTCCCAAAATGCGGACTCAGGCCAACGGATGCACGCAGGTTCTGAGTTGTATGCTGGTCTTTGCTTCGTGAATCTCCCTGACAGGTGATGCCATTAAGGCTGCGGGCGCTCTTTCTGCACCACTGCGCAGCCTGCTGCACGCCTGCAGTGCGAAGCCGTCGAAGCATCTGCGCCTGCAGGCATCTGCTGCCAGGCCCCTGACAAAGTATTCCTGGGCCGACGAGGCCGACCCGGTGCTTTAGGAAAGCAGCCGCAGCCTCTCTCCCGCGGCCAAGGGGGACTTTGTCTGCATCTACGTCTCGGCCGAGGGCGAGCCTGAGGCCGGAGCCTCAGCCGACACGCAGGGAGAAGGGAGAGAAGGAACGAGAGAGAGACTCTGTTCCTCTTTGCCGCTAAAAGTGCTAAAGCTACGATCACCTGAGCGCGAAGTGATTTCGCAACACCGAGCCGCAACAGTTCCATGCTTTTGTCTAACCTGATGTTGCACCGTGCACATCTTCTCATCCCGGCATGCACAACTTTCTGCAGCCACTCGCGGAGTCCAGGCGGAAAGCTTGCTCCACACCCTTTGGTCCCGATTCAGGATGCTGGTGCGGTTCGTTTTTCACGTGGTGGCGTGTAGTGCCTTTGCGCCAGTATGCAGTGCTTTGCTAGCTGTGGTGAGAGGCGTCATGCAGCAGTCATGTCGGATACTGCTCGGAAGTATGGAGTTTTTGGAGAGACGACGATCAAAGCTCGGCATGAAACGTTGGACATACTCGAAACTTCCTAATTCCTAACCACTGGACTGCGGGACACCGGTGCGACGGAAGACGTGATCCTTGAACAGCGCCTGCTTGATTTTTATGTGATGTTATTTGAGTTTCGGAGGAAGGTCTCTTTGATGCGCATGCCGAGGCTATAGAGGCAGCCACTCGTGGAGAAGTGAAGGCATGGGAAGTCTCAGCTTATGGCTTCTAGAATACTAGAACTATGTCTGTGAGTGCCACAGCCCGGGCTGGAAGTAGCGGATGTGCAGTGTCTGCGCCTTGCACAGGTCAATTTTGATGTGCGTTCTGTTGAAGTCCGGGTATGTGACGGCACGAAGGACTGCAGCTTCTTACCTGCGTGGATAGATCGTGGTTTTTGGGGGATCACATCGATCGCACATGGCTTCGAGGAGTTCGCTCTCAGCCTCAAGCAGCTGGAGGGCGAAATTGCTCGAGCCTCCGCCTCCGCCTGGCTCGGCGAGAAAGTGTTCGCACCGCTTTTGGGAGGTCCCGGAGGAGTCCAAGCACCGCGTGAGCGCAGGGAAGAGGACCATGGCCCTCGAGACGAGAGTTACAGCACGCCTGTACCTTCGGTACTCTCGAAGCAGGATAAGCCTCAAGATGAAGAAGAAGAGGACCGCACAGGCCTCAGGATCGCGGGAATGCTCCCAGCGTGGTTTGCCGGTCCAGACTGAGTCTCCGCCTCTTTTCACTCTCACAGCGACACGTCCCTAGTCTTCCCTGGCAGTGTCGTCTCTTGCGAATTCTCTTTCCGAGGGCACCTGGACGAGGCTGCTGAGGCCGAAATGAGCTGCATCGAGCCTGACCTCTGTGGGAGGCAGTTTGGCTTCAAGTCCACGTTTAGCTAGCTTGCCTTGAGCCCACAGTCGTCCGACATAAATCCCCAAGTCCCTCAGCAGATTGTAGCCGGAACGCTCTCAACACAGCAGCACATGAACTCTTCGTTGTGTGTAGTGTAGATATCGGAGACTTGCGAGATGCGGTAAGGAGTGAGTGAGGTCATGCTTGTTGTTCGTCGGTTCTGCGAAACCAAAGACTGGGGCCCAGAAATGGGCGGAACTTTTGGCAAGTGGAAAGAGTTGCAGCCTGCTCTGCAGTAGTATCTCCGTAGCGCCTGAGGAGCTACTTGTACAGACTTGCTCATGCAGATCGGGCCTTGCCCTTGAAGACAGAGCGAACCAAATTTATGCACCTGCTGCCTGCGATTTGAGGCCCGTCCTGTCCGCATTGCAATTGCAGTGCTAGTGCACGAACCAAAGACTCCGTCTCAGTGACATGCCGCGAGGCTTCCATGCCAAAAAAGCAGTGCCGGTGCAGACGCGGAAGCAAAGTCTCGGGGGGGCGTAGTGCTAGCTGCTACGCGCCATGACGCACTCCAAGTTCATTGCTTCGGGCAGACCTCGAGCGCCACCATGCGCCGATCAAGTCGCAGAATAGCAGAGCATCGCGCAGACCGGACCCAACTGCAGGACAGCTTACCAGAGACGCAACTCACCTCTTACCATCTTCAGATCGGGCTCGTTGGATGCCATGGCACCGCTCATACAGCAGGCAATCGCGGGTAGGATTTTGTTGCATTGACCGGCGGTTCAGGGACTCCCGCCACAAGACAAGGCTGTGCCCCTGTCGGCTGAGCCCGGCTTCCTGGAAAGTGCACGTGGCATGCTTTCAGCTGTGTGCGAAGATGCTCGTGACGCGGTCCAGCCGTTTTTGATAAGGGATGGGGTCAGACGTTCGGGAGGGCACCTCTGGCTTCTTGCAGCTTTCTTTCGCATAGCAGGATGGCCCGGCAATGTGGATGTCTGGCTGGCTGGTGCCGCGGCATTTCTTTGCCACACCTACTTACAATCACGTTGATTCATCCACGCATGATGTCTTGATTGGTGGCATGGAACAGGGCTGGGTGGGAAAGCTCAGAGAATAGACCAGTCACCTTGGCATCAGAGGTATTTGCGGTCTTCTGCCCGTCGCTTTCGTGCTGGGCTGCCTCTACATGACAAGGAAGCAGCCGAGAAGAGGTGGCTTCTCCTGCTTTGCTTGCAGACTGCGCATGACGAAGCTCAGAATCGAAGAACCAACCCGCGCTGTTCAAAATCCGCCAGCCCTTTGGCTGGAGGAGGCTGCAGAGCGGTCCTCGAGGGCGTACAGGCACGTTGAGTTCGGGTCGAGCTTTCAAGGAATCGAGGTTCACTTGGGCCTGAGGGATGTTGAGCATACGGAGGTTGGTGGCAGTCGTTGGAACGGATGAGCGATTTCTCGGCTTCGCTTCCAGGTGTCGCTGCTCCTGGTGATCGCGGGATCCTTTCCATTCAGCTGTGCAGACGCCGTAGGAGGCGCGTCCTTCCAGCAGATCTGATCTTGGCATCTGATCGGATTGTCGGAATTTCTGGGAGGCAACCTCTCCTGTGCCTCAGCAGCCGTGATCGAGCTCGGCTCTGGTGGCCTGAGCGAGCTTTCAGTCTTGATGTCGCACTTCTACCGCTTCCGCCCGCTTCCGCCACTTCTACCGCTTTGGCTTTGCCAGGTTCAGAGCTTCTGAGCACAGGTGGGACGCACACCCCCACTTCCCAGCACCACTGTGGCACTGTCCAGGCTTGGGCGCGCCCGGCTCCGTGCTGCTTCGCTTACAGGCACACTTCGTTGTCCTAGCTCGGTGCTGAGTGTGAATACAGAGTGTGCTGTAGGAGGGCCTGTTGAGGAACATGGTGGTAGGTGTGATTTTTCTCCGAGGCACTGGTCTTCGCCCGTGCCTTGGAAGCTGGCAAGTGAGAGGAAGAAGCTCGAGGATAGGATCCGAGAATCCCAGGAGCTAGGAGAGCTTTGTCTCAAGAGCACCAGGGGCTTCCGGATTTCCAAGGCTTGGTGGTCCGCGACGAGCCCGCTTTGGCCAGGCAGGAATGTGAGACACTGTTTGGGTGCGATGCCATATGAACTATAATGATGCGATGAGGGTTTTCGCAGCAACGCTACCCAAGTTGCGAGCACAAACACGCCCGCCCGTGCTGTTCCACCAGCCTCCATTCTGGCGCCACTTCCAGCCTTCTGCACCTGCAGGCATTGCCCTTTCCACAGACTGCGAGAAAGGATCTGGGTAGGAGTGGCGTGGGGGGATCCGTCCATCGAATCCGAAGCTTGGCCGGAGCCCAACCTTGGCCCCAACCTCCTGAACCTCAAGCCCAAAAAACTCAGGATCAACGCTTGTGGTACCGGTTGCCGATTTCAGCTCTGCGCCATAAGCTCTCGCGTGTGTGCGTGTGTCTGTCGGTGCATCTGAGTCTGTGTCTTGTGCGAGGGCTTTCTGACGGCCTGTGCCATATGGATCCGTTGCTCCGGGATTCGGATGTTGTGCAGTGACGGCCGGTGGCAGCTGTCTCACTTCTCTGGGCATTCTGGCCGCACCACCAGGTGCGGCTGCACAGCAATAATGCGATGCGCCATCGCTGTGTAGCTGTTGTACAAAGGAGGCCTCTTGAGACTGAACTTGACTCCAGCTCTCCGTCTCAAGAAATTTGTCCGACTGTGTGCTGCAACAGCCATGTCAGGGACGTCTGCGAAGGTATCGACGCTGTAGCTTCACTGTGCAAGACGAAGACAGCATGACACGCTTCCATGACACAGCCGGACACTGCTTGCACGAGATAGCTTGCAACGACTAGATCGAAGCCAGCAGCCAGCCCCAGTGGCACCAGCACGAGCACGGTCTCACAAGTACACCGTTTTGCGGAAGATCGGAACTGAGCTGACATGAATGCCATGGCCGGCATCTCGCCCAGGTGCTCGAAGCAACTGAGCACGAGCGGGAGTAAGTGGGGACAGGGCCACGTGACAGGCGCACGGATCTTCCCTGGGAGCGCGCTGCACTCGGCTGGAGTTGATGGGTGATTCTTTGTACGCGTCCAGACGCGGTGAGGTATAGATGCACAAGAGCAGAAGGCGTTGGAGGCACCGTTCCTCTGTAGCTGGCCTGGCAGAGTAACCCCACCGTTGTGGCAGCAGAACCGTTGTGGTTTGCTGCAATGGCCTTCCTTCTCCGCAATGCAGACAGAAGTAAATCAACGCCTTGCAACTGCGGCGAGCTAGGCCTACTGCGCGGATTTGGATCGCATCCTGGAGTCGTGCGCGCCCCTGCGCAATCGTGGATAGAAAGGCATCGCTGCAGGGATCGCTGGGGCGTGGGAATTGCGATCGAGAATAGAAGCGACTGGAACTCCACGCTCTTGTGGCTTATGTTGTGCTCTGTAGATCTTGTTCCGCTCAGGTCAACAGATGGACATATGTTCCTTGAGCGTGTTGCGGCACTCGATCAGAGATACCAGGAGGCCCATCGATTCATTGTCATAGAGGACGACTTGGTCGACGCTGCTAGCTCGCTATGCGATCTCTGGCAGGCGTGGTTTACCGACGAGTATGGTAGCGCTCTTGGTGACCCTATGCAGGACCGCAAGTTTGTTGGATCCTTGCAATCTACCATGCGTACGCCGTGTGCCTCCTGCGAGCTTGGTTCTCCGAAGGCCTTCCGTGCAGCCCCGACTGCCGGTATCATCTCCGCTGCTCGGGCACCAAAGACTGCGAGTGGGCTCGGCATGCAAGGGTCATGCCCTCGGCCAGTCCGAAGCTGTTGGAGTGCTGCAACATGAGCACGGCGCTTGAGGTCCGAGATTTTGCAGCGACACACGGCCCTCCTTGATGGGCCCCCCACACATCTAGCAAGGCGGGGGCACATGCGGGCACCACAACATCACTGCAACTTGAAAACTTGCTTCCATCGGGGATCGGATGGCGGCTCACGCTCGTGCCCTCTGTCTGCCAGGCCAGGTGCTGGTCCCGGGCCCGGGCTGCCCGCGCTGCATCCCGCGCCGCGCCTGCACGACGGCGCAGGCGGCCTCCTTGTTGAGCCGACGCGGCCCTTCGCCCTTCCTTTCAGAGTGCGGTGTCAGGGTCATTCGCACGCAACCCCATATCAGCAGCCGGACCGTCGGCGCGCCCTCTCCCCAGATTCTATTCGGACGTTGCTAGGAGTTGTAGCATCTAGTTTCCTTCGTGTCCAGGCTTTCCTGCTCCACGAGCTCCATCGCCCATCGAGCGCAGACCGGTCATATCCACAGTCTCTTTTCCTCTGTCCTTTTTCGATGTCTCAGCTTCTGCCTGTTGCCCAAGGCGCCGCCGCCGCCAGTGGCCCCGGCGATGTCACGCTGCTCCTACTGTGGTGCTGCTATTGCTCCAGAGGCCGCCCCAAATTTCGGCTGTGCTGAATTCTGAGCAAAATGTTTTCTGACTCTGCTCGTGCTCGTTTTGTCGTAACCAGAAAGGCAGCCTACTGCAGCCGCTGCGGTATGCAGCAACTGGAGGCACTCAGTGCGGAGTAGCAAGAGCACTGCGCCATCTGCCGGGTTGTGTAGCTGTGGACATAGAAGGGGAAGTTTCTCGACGAAACCCTGCAAAGCCTTATGACAGCGATCGGGCTTCTGCCCGGAGCCCTTCGCATTGTGCTCGTTGGAGGCTTCGCCTCCTCCGCCTGCAGCCGAGTGGCCCTGGCGAGGAGCTTCGACCTGGGGGAGGCGCAGGGTGGAAAAAGCCTTGGAGGATTTCGGTAGTTGAGGTTCAGGGTTGAGGATCTGAGGATCTCGGCTTCAGGGCTCAGAGGCTTTCGGGGTTGAGGCGTTGAGGCTTTTGCACAGGCCACGGCTTGCCACAGCTGAGATTTGGGGAGATTGCGTGCCACGAAGCAGAAGCTCCTCCCGCTCTTCTACCGCAAACGGTTTCCCTCGCAAAAACAATCGGAAGCCCCTAGTAGGAGACGGTGTAACCAGAATCCAGCCACAATTCTGCTGCACGAGACCGCGAGATTTCTTGAAAGTGTCCACAGCAACAGACAGCCATGGTTCTGCCAGGATGCCACCCAGGATTTGAACTAGCAGAGTTCTGATGCTGCTGCAGCACTCAAGATGTCGGAAATCCGGAGAGTGCTGGGTAGTGTGTTCACTGAGTGCGCTGCAAAGTCACAGCGCGCTCTCGTCATTGTGGCCGAGAGTCTAGCTGGATTGAATTGACACTGCCAGTTGCTGCAGGATCTCCAAATATTTCAGATTGTACAGACTGCCAGCACCTTTGGCAGTTCGAGGGGGAACGAGCAGTGGCCCGCGGATCACTGGCCGAGTGTCAGCTCGGGGACGGCTGCACACGAAAACTGCGGAAGATTCAGTGAACTTGTACGCACGCCTTTCCTGCTCATGTTCGGTGAGTTGTCATCTGCCTATGCTGTACATGGCATGGCCTGATGATGGTCTTTTGGCTTCACAGCCGCTTCGTGCAAAGTCCCGTGGCGCTCCTGCAAGGCGGAAGTCAGTGGAAAAGAGCCACGGGCATAGAGCCATAGGCCATAGGACGTTGCTGCGTTGCTGGTCAGGCCATGGCAAAGGGCTTGTTGGCCGCTTCTTGGGATGCAGGTGCTCGAGCCAGGGTTGTTCTTCGGGGTCCAACTGTGGTCAGCCCTGCCTGCAGGCCCAACGCTGCTGGAGCCTGGCGATCTAAGGCCACCTTGACATGTTGCGCAAGAAGAAGCAAGCTGCAGACCAGGGTGCGGCAGAAACGCTCCAGAACAGGTTGCAAAGCTCCTGCAGCAGGTTCAGGAGTTTCCATGCGACATCGCTTGCTGCGCTGGATGAGGTGCTGCCACGTCTCTCGCTTCGAGTTTTCAGGATACTGTAAACGACTTCCAGTCACGGGCAGAAGCCCCCGCCTGGCCCATCTCTCTGGGACTCAGGCTCAGCTCCAACAGAAGTGGAGTAGTAGAGACATGATTCTATTATGTTATAGTATAATCGTATATTATCGTTTTGTGGTTATGGTATATTTCAGGAAAGTATAGTATAGTATATTACACAACTTCGGAGCCAGTGGCAGGCACGTGCTGCCTCGGAGGCAGTGGCTGCACTTCTCCCTAGGCGGGCTGAGTTTTTGTTGAAGAGAGGCTTTAGGGCGGGGGATTTACGGGTTTAGGCTTGAGGGCTTGGGGAGAAAGTTGTCGCATGGGGTCTTCAAGCCCAACAGGCCTAACACCAGATGGGATAGTTAGGACAGTTGAGAAGGGGGCACTTTGTCTTGAAACGGCTGTGGCACTATCCATCTTTCTGGCACTTTCAGACTTCATTAGTTTTCCCCGATTGGAACTTGCTGCTGGAGGTGCTTTGTTTGACATGATTCCGCATTTATCAAAACGGGAGGCGGCGCAGCGCTCAAGACTGGCTTGGCAACCATGATGCAGGCACCCTCGGCTGCCGTGCACCACCTGCACTGACATGACAGACATAGTTTTCACATGCCAACTTCTGGGAAATTTGTTGAAAGGCTTGGTCCCGGCATGTGGCAGTCGTGCTGTGCCTTCACGACGGGGCGACATCGGTGAGCAACTCGGGGGTGGTCCAAAACCCATGCTGCGTTGGCAGACCGAGTGCAAGGATATCCCCCTTCAATGCTAAGGCACTTCTTTCCTGGGCTCCGACTCGTCGGCGTCATCTTTTCAGCAACAGTGGCAGGGGCCACCTCCTCAACAGCAAAACTTCCAGCAGCAACAACAATTCCAGCAGCCACCGCCGCAACAACAACAATTTCAGCAGCAGCAGAACTTCCAGCAGCAAGGCTCGAAGCTTGCTTTGTCTCAGCATGTGAGCTGCATCCTGACATCGCTCCTGGCAAGGCCAAATGCAGGGACCACCGCAGCAAAACTTCCAGCAGGGCCAGGGTCCGCCACAGCAGGGTGGCTATCAACAGCAGGGCCGCTGGGCTGGACATGATCCCACACCGTGTTGACTCGAAGAGCAATTTGCATTGAGGTGGCTATCAGCAAGGCTATCAGCAGCAGGGAGGATATCCGCCAAACCAGCAAGGACAGCGTGAGTTTGCCACTTCGCCGGATCTTCAGAGCACGAATCGACTTGGTACATTTCCCCAGTGGTCAATGCATACCCGGTTGAAACCTAATAATTGCATGAGTGTTTGTCTTTTTCACATTGAAGTAGAATGGTTTCGGCACGTGGGCTTCGTGGAGTGCCAACCTGCGGGCTATTAACGTGCAGAAGTCCTCCTATTAGTATTTGTCTTCCTCCTATAAGCACGCGTATTCCTCTTGTTATTACTTGTATTGCTCTGTAAAGTCCTCAGTCAGTACTAGTATTCCTCTTATTGGTACTAGGATTCCTCTTATTGGTTCATACTAGTAGTCCTCTTAGTGGTACTTGTATTCCCTTTTTGGTACTTATTGGCGGATGCAGGTCACCAATCCAGCTCCGGTTCGTGTTTGATTGAAACCCTTGTGCAGCCAAATTGTCAAGGCCCGGTGCCCTGCAGAAACCATTAGTTCGCAAGCCCACTCTCTGCCCGAATATTTCGGATTCAAGACTCCTGGCTTTACAGAAACCATGACAATGCAAGTAAGTGTTTGCAGTGCCATCGTGGGTCCAGCTCTCAGGAGCATGTCGGAGTGAGGTTGGCGGCGTCCTAGAAAACATGAATTTGCAAGCCAACTGTTTCCATGCTCCAACAACCTCCAGGAGCTTCCGGTCTGCAAACCGCTGTACATGAAACACACTTGCGAAATCACTGCATTCCCAGGGTTACCTGGACAGGATACTACCAGGGGCAGCCCGGACAACCAGGCAAGGGTTCACGGGCACATTGTCCCTGCGCACATACTGAGCAGTCGGAGATGAAGCATTGATATTGCATCACATGAGCAGTAGGAACAAAGCGGAGCGATCTCCGGCATAGCTAGTCCACATTATCCAGAATGCGGTCTGCTACACTGTCCATTGCCATCTGTGCGAGTCTTTACGAGAGACTTTTTCTTCATTTCCCAGCGTTCTTGGCCCAGAGGTTATCAAGGTGCCCCGGGTGCCCAGGGGGCCAAGTTTACTCAGAGCTTTAGCCGCAGGGAGACCTTCAGTTGTAGCTTGTGGCCCCAAGTGCATTTTTCCTCACTCCCCTGCACATGTTCAGAGTCCATACCAACATGTCACGGACAAGTCTTCTGGTTGGGCACTGGAGAGGTTACCAGGGTGCCCCGCCGCAGGGTGCAGCCAGGAACTGCAAAGATGGGATGGAAATCATGCACGTCGCGTTGCAGTGAGTGCATTGCGGTTGTGACAATCTGGAGTAGCATTTGCTTCAAGTCACTGCCTTGACACATTTCGTCGCAGCACAGAATGCCAGTCAGAGAAACCCGCAGAGTTGCCGGCTGCAAGCATCCAAGGAGCCCATCATCCGGTTCGAAGGCGGCGCTTATGGCAGGCAGATCAGCTGCGGTATGGAGAGCTAGCGGCATGAGCAGCAAAAACAAAGCAAAAGACGGCGGCAAGCGGCTGTTTAGCCTTTTGAGACGTGTCTGCATAGTCAGTCTTTCGTCAAGGTGTCATGTCCCCGTTTGGCATCGCCATCATCGGAGCCGGCCTCTACTTCTACTGCAAGCACAGCTGGCAAGCTTCAGTTATATTGCGAGGTTGAACTTTACAGATTCCAGTTCCTGTGCTGTAATTGTGTCCAGCTTGGTGGTTTTTGATTTATCCTGCTAAGTGCAGTATATTCTATTCTGCTGCTTTCTATACTCTCTTCTATTTTCTACTCCATCTTCTATTCTATGAGGTCTGTTCCAGTCTATTCTGTTCTATTCTGCTCGGTTCTGTTCTGTTCTATTCTATTCTGTTCTATTGTTGCCCAAACCGTGCTACACACTACGCCGCTCTAACTTCCAGTGTGAAGAGCACACTTTGCGCGCATGTCTTGTTAGATCCGTCGGTCCATGTCAAGCCAGGTTGTAACTTCAGGGGCCTCGAAATGTTTGAATGCCGCCAGCGATGCATTGGACCAGCCTTAGATGGGGGAAGCAGTTTCGCCGAGGTCCTGAATCCAGCCGCAATACAGAGGGGGAAGCAGGTTGCTCATTTCTTGGATTTTCTTAGACTCCGCCAGTACTTGGGGAGACGCGTTTTGATCGTGCTCCTCAATACCGCCAGTACCTGGGGGGGAAGCACGCCTGTGCATCCGACACTCTCGACGCCGTCCTGATGGTCTCTTGGTGGTCCCTGATTCTTTCTCGTAGCCATGTGGGTCGTGGTGATCATCTTTGGCCCTCTCCGTGGACCCAGAGATGCTTGTGCGGGTGCATCCGGGGTGCGGGTGGGGTTCTCGTGATGCGTTTGCGGTATGGTCCTTCACCGCTTATTAACCATATAGTATAGGATCGGATAGGCGGATAGTATAGTACAGTATCGTATGGCATGGTATAGTATTGTATTGTAAATTATTGTGCAGTACAGTGTAGTATAGACCGAACCTTTCGCTTAAGCCACTCTGAAATGTTGTATGGTATTACGTTTCATTGTGCCCTGTTATGTCATGCTATCTTATGTTCTGCACCGTAATACTGTAAACGTTCTATTATATGCACTCTTTGCCAGGAAGCCTGCTCCACCGCAGGCCTCAGGGGGTGACTCCAACAGCGCCCTTGAGGTGCAGCCCCGAGTATCCTCGCTAAAGGGGTATGTTGCAGTTTGAGCCTCAAGGACAGCGATGCCGAGTCCGAGGACGGCTCTGAGAAGAGTTGAGGGTGCTACAAAGATGGACCTGCCTCCCCTGCTGTTCCAGAGAGCTTCAAAGGAGCAGTAGAGTGTAGCTGCAGGCCCTCACAAGTAGTCTTAGTCCGTACAGTCCGTACTTGCCGTAGTTTCAGGAGGCTTGAGCAAATTCAGGGACCTTCTCTTCGGGACAGAGTATAGGTTTCGGACTCAAAACGACGTGCTTCCTTAGAGGCACCTGTGCTGAATGCCGCGCACTAGCACGCTGCACTTTGCACGATGCATGCAGTTGCTAAAGCCATGCAACCATGCACTTGCTGATTGTCAATCGGATCACTGTGGCGCAATATGTCCCAAGAAAAACTAGATCCTCCCCGCCGAAGAAGAACTAGATCAATCCCCCGCCTGCATGAGATTGCACACCTTTGCCACCAAAGCCCAGCAAGCTACTGCGGACACTGGAAAAAGATGTGGTACCTGGTAAGAGAACATGGCTTGCGCATGTTGCTCACCAACGAGGCTCCGTCACAAGGCATAGTTCCAGATTTCTTTCGGCCGGGCCTGACAGTCGGAAGAAGCTGTAGAGATGCACTCCGCAGCCGTAAGCTTCAGTTTAGGAGCGCATGCAAAGTTTAAGTCTAACCTTTAAGTAACCGGGAGAGCAACAGTACTCTTCGCAGGAAAGCTAACCGCTTTAAACTTGGACTCTTACTTGTCTTGTGGCTTCCCGCTCTGCTCTGGATGGAAGGAAGATGCGCATCCACCAGGCAGTTGATTTGCCTTCGCCGAGTCTCCGAGAGCCAACAAGAGTATCTGCCCTGAGGGGCCGCAGTTGCGCCCAAGTTTAGGAAGAACAACCTTCAGAACACTGGTCCCGCTGCCACAGATCGCCGCCACAACGGCGAAAGAAGCGCAACCTCAAGGCGGGGTTCTCTGGTCCTTTTTGAGGCAATGGCAGTGAGGAGTTCTCCTGTCGAGAGGCTTTGCTCCTCGCACGGCTTCGCGACCGGGGCGCCTCGCCCAAGGACAGCGGCAGAGGGAGTGTCTGAGCTGGCCCATGACGTGAGCGATGTCCAGGAGCTTGAATCGGCTTTGAGCACGCTTCAAGCAAACTCTTGGCTTTCGGGTACAAAGGAGCGGGTTTTCGCATCTAGCTCACCGATCGCCCCGGTCTGGAGATCGATATCCACCGTAGGAGCACGCAATCGCCATCGACTCCCTGGGACGACGATCTCGCTGGTTGGAGGCATCCTCCTGAACCCTGGAATCCTGAAATATTCTGAAATCTCTGAGGGAAACCTGCTAGAGAGGACCCCCCAACGAAAATGGAGAGCGAGAGAGAGAGAGACAGAGAGGCTCAAGTCGACCTGCTCCTCGTGAGGGGGGCACTCGGGGACGGCCCGCCGGGGGGGGGCAGAGAGTGGTCTCTGCTTCTCTGGCGGGTGGACGTTCTCCCGAGTGGGGGAGGCTTGAGTCATTACGTCGCGATGTTTCTGCCCCGGCAGACCAGCCGCTAAGACCCCCTCTGACACTGGCCCTTCTGCGGAAGGTGGCCCAGCAGTAGGAGGGAGCAACATGCTACCACGTTTTGGAACACGCGGGGATCTTGGAGAACCAGGGGCTCATCCGGGACCAGCTGAAGGAGGACCTAGCAGACTCGCTGACCGAACACCTCCCTCCAAAGAGCAACGGGGAGTAGACGGAGTTGGACATGAACGCTGGGTGAGGGACAAGGATGAGGTCATGACTGAGCAAATGGCAGGGACATCCAGAACGATAAGTTCGCCACCATGGGGGTAGAGGGCACAACGCCCATGGAGGACCCGCCAGTCAGGGCGAACCGCCCAACTGCAAGGCAGCGACGAAGCAAGTGATGGCTCAGAGTTTTGTTGCATGAAAGGCACAAGATGCTCTCGGGGGACAACCCCCGTTTTCCGAGAACTTTAACTTACCTTTTGCAGGAACTCGTCTACGGCCTGAGGCCGACTTCTCAAACTTTCCGAGCACCACCTCAGTCAGACAAAAAGAGGGCCCAGCAGCAAGCGGGAACTCTGTAATTAGTACCGAGGGACCTTTCTTTTACCCCGTTCCTTGAACAACGAAGTGGTGTGCCACAGAAGGTTGGCGGGGCCAAAAAATTAAAGCATGTTTTTCTCTCCCGAGGCACCCGCTTCTCTTAGCCCGGAAAGGGCACCAGCTGAACATCTTCGCACAGCCGAGCCCATCCGCACAAAATAGTGGATGGGGAGCGCGCCTGCGCGGGGCGGGGGGACTGCCCCTGCCTCAAACCCCGAGCAAAGCAAAACAAAGAGACAGAGATTAGCTCTCAGTGCCGCATCCCGTGATGTGAGTCTCACACCGAACTGCTGGACCAGCACACTCTTGAGCGCGTGCTGTCCTTTGGCTGTGTGCAGGCAAGATTATAAGTTTCCTCACAGTGACCAGAAACCTCATACATGAAGACGCGCAGCGTAGTCAGTGCATGGCAGTACAGTGCAGGGCAGTGTTGCCAGACCAGACAGAGGGCGTGGACAGGTTCCAGCTTCACCTGCCAGCGCAGTCGTGTCGTGCTCAAGGTCGAGATTGCTAAAGTGTTCACAGAGCAGCTAGCTGGAGCACGCAATCAGCCCTGCCCAACGGAACATAGATGGACACATAGGAAGGAAGGCATGCCCTTTTCATCCAACGACAGAGAGCAAGAAATCAAGAGAGAGAGAAAGAGAGAGAGAGAGAGAGAGAGTGAAGCAAAGCAAAGAGAGAGAGTGAGAGAGAGCCACCATTTTTCACGCTCCCCCGAAGCCCCATAACAAATGCGGCAAGTGGGGGGGCCATGTGGCCGGGGGGCCTGACACACGCGACGAAGAAGTAGGAGAGAGTAAGTCGAGACCTGCTCCTGGCGGCGTGCAAGCAAGAGAAAGTCCCATGCACTAGAGCGCAGGCCGGGAGGACCGCTCGCGTCCCATGCCCCCTCAGCGAATCAAAGCAAAGAAAGTCCTTTGCGCGGGTTCGTTCCTAAGCTGTGCGAAAGAATCGAAGTCGTTCAGTCAGCCCAGTGGAAGAGCGGGCCGGCTCTGAGGGGGTGTGCACCTGCACGGGAGTGACAATCCGCCTTAATCTGCAAAAAGGGAAGAGACGGCCGAAGTGCTGCAATGCAGAAAGCAAAGATGCAGTCCATTGCAAGGCCTTCGATCTTTGGCATGAGATGCGGTCACTTGGCTCGATCTTTGTGCAAGACGGGATTGTGCTCTTTGCTAGACAAAGATTCCGAGAACTACGCTTTCTCCTTTCCCACACAAGCTCTTGGAAAGATTGCTCCGACAAGTTGGATCTGCTGACTTGAACGGGTCAGCACAGCCGAGGCGTGCAGAAGGGTTGCGGGAAATGTTCAAAGGATTTTTGCGTCTGCTGCGATAGAGCTGATGGCCTGTAGATCTTCTCTTGGAATCTCTAGCAGACATGGCAGACCCTCTGAGCATAGCTGAAGCGTCTCAGCCATTGCAATGCCTTGCGATCCTTTCTGCCTCGAGCCCAGATGCCACGAGCCACTCCTGGAAGGGGTTTTTCAATCTGAGTGCAACAGTTCTGCCAAGCCTCGCAGCCCGGCATGATGTGGCCTTGCGCCATCTGTTCCAAAGTGTGGAAGTGAAACTCGCAAGGATGGCTCACTTGCATTCCACCCTAGCTGCAGGATGCCAGCGAACCTAGCACAAGGCCCGGCCACTTCCGGAACTCAGCCAAACTTTGGAAACCACAGGGGAGACTTGGCAAATCACCACCGTCGGTGGAAAGACATGACAAGGCCCCACAGGAAAGCCTCGCACTGGGCATCAGAAGCAGATGCTGACGATCAACGGCTGCAGCATTCTGAGCAGAACTCGATCTGGAATCTGCAGAGACAGAGTTCGCCTTGCACAGCCTGGAACCCTCTTCTGAGGGCGGGGGCGGGGGCGGGGGGTAAGTCCGAGGTCGCGGAGCCTGCGGGCCGACCTTGTGGCCTGGAACTCGGCAGCGCAGGTCGCCGCAGGAGTCAGGCCTGCAGTGCATTGCAGAGCTCTGATCTTCGACTTGGTCTCGAGAGTTGAGGGAGAGGATGGCCTGCGAGCTGCGTGGTCAGGCAAAGTTCAAAGGATTTTCTTTGTGCTACCTCGTGCCGGGTGTTTGGGAATTGCAGGTGGCCACAAGCACTGGCAATGCTCGTTTGGCAAGCCCCCGCAGCTGGCTTGCAGGGTCCTCAAAGCCAGATATGGCTGAAGCCGACAACGCTTTCTCGCATGCGGTTGGTCCAAGGCAGCTCAGCGAGATCTCATGGAGCCTTGCCGCCAGCGTTGTGCAGCGATGGGAACGCGCGCTGCAGTCACTCGACGGCAAAGGCTGTCGTGTGCGTGCGCTTGTGTGTATGTGTGTCTCTCTTCGCCGCTATCTCTCGTTCTGTCTTTCCCTCCTTCTTTGTCTTCGGTGGAGATCGAGCGCCCTTTTTCTCTCCATTTTTTCTCGCTCTCCAGCCCACACTCTCCGTCTTTCTCTGTCTGTCTTTCGCCACTCAAACATCCGTAGCATGTGCGTGTGTGGGTAGGTTCATCATTTGTTGATTCTGGCGACTGTCCATGATAGGGTCTCCTAAGTTCCTTACAAAGCACAACCTCATGTATCGTTTACAACCAGAGCTCGCATGCTAGAAGTAGACCCTGATCCGCGTAAGCCGTTCGAATGTATCGCAACATCAAGATCTCAGGTACGCTGATACATATTTGTTGCATCGTCTTCAAAATTGAACATGCAAGCAGTGCATCCTCTGTCACAAGAGAGTCTATGCTCTAGCCGCCCAGCTTCAGTTTCTTATCGAAAACAAACTTGCAGTACTGTATGCTGTTGTATGTTACATGATTGTAGTCCTAGCACGTCCGGGTATGTGCTCTGTTAATTGCCTATACTGTGTTGGCGGTTCCCTGTTTTTTAGTGTAATATGCCCCAAAACCCTATTCTAATTGATAAGGAGCCTATAGAATATTACCCTTATAGATCCCTTGTAGTAACCCTTATAGACCCCCTTTTCAAAGGAACCCTATTCTGACTATTAAGGCCCCTATAGTGGAGGAAGGTGGCGGAGGAGGACAATGTGTACAAGGTTGTGGAGTCCATGGGCGACCTTGGTGAGCACAAGAAGCAAGTTCCACAGTGGGTCTTGCGGAGCATGGGCGTGGCGACACCTGGGTCCGGCCGGCGTGCCGGGAAATTGCCCGAGGACTTTTTGAAGGTGGCCGAGGGCATCATCCTGCAACAGTTGGAATACGGCACCGAAATCACTGTGCCTGCAGTGGTCACATTGTTGCAAACTTGCATTGACGTCTGGAACGAGCAGGTCGATGCTTTGACAAAGGATGTCTCGGAAGCCCGCACGCGCCAGCAAAAGGACCTCGAAAGGCACGGGGAGGTGCCGCCCATTATGGATGCCGAACCCAGTCGTGGTCTGCGGAAAATCGATGTACGCAGGTCACACAATGCGGCTACAAACACGCCCAGCATGCCCTTCGGAATTATGACTTCCAGGCCGCGAAAATTTCGAAGCCAGGCAAGCACCTTCCCATGAACGACCCTGTACTCGTTGCCGTGAAAGAGCATGTCAAAGCGGAGGTGGAAACTGGTGCAGTGCACCCGCTCCTGGTTGGGAATTTTGATCAAGTCTGGACCACCCTCTACGAGCCAGCATCAAGGGTGGTTTGGAAAAACGCGGCCAAGCAGGGCATTGTGAAGGACTTGAACGTGGAGGACGGCAGATGGTACACGCGGCGGCTTGTGGCTAGTCAGCTGTGCATTTCCCTCGGCCTTGAAACAGCGGCATTGCAGGGCTGGAGCACGCACGGATGATGGATACAATTCCGCAGGGTGTGTCAACAACTGGCGTGTGCCTCGCACCACGACCACATTGTCGTGGCGCAATGGGGAGGTCGGCCGTCTTTTTGTGACCATTGCTTCGGATAAGGTGACGGAGCAGCAGTTGCAGGAGGCTAAGGCCCTGTGTGGATTCGCAGTCGTGGAGCAGGCACAAGTTCCGACCCACATGTGGCGTGGACAGACAATGGTCCGGTACCTCGACTTCTTTGGCGGAAGGGCTGAGGGTCCGCAGGGCGAAGCACGGTCGCACACAGTCGCATCGCGCTCTTGTTATTTGCGACGACGCAAGCCAGCACTCGGACCAACGCTTCCACGAGCTACGACAATTGTGGGAGGATGGAAACAACTGCCAGCTCTTAGGAGCTGACAAAACCTTCCGCATCAAGGTGCCTGGTGGCTTTGGTGCTTGCGCGCGGCCACAATCATGTAGCAAGATTGTAATGACTCTGGCACAGAGCCATACACAGTGCTAATCTTCCCCCTGGCATATGCCCCGCACATGGGACGTGCAGGCCTCCAGGTCATCAACGCGGCCTTCGAAACGCAGGTTTGCAAGCTCACGTGCCGTTGTGTGCCTCAACTTCTACCAAGCGCTCATGATGATGTTCCCTTGGCGATGAGCGGCCAGGGACTTCAGCGCATAAACATCTGACGCCAAGGAGACGAGGAGTGGAGTCTTCATGCTTACTTGGCCAGAAAGCTCAAACTCCAGCTCTTGGTGCTGACGAGCAAACACTGGGTTGTTGGCACAGCCGATAGCTTTCCGAAGCCATGCGCGGCGGAAGAGTCGCCACGTGTTGTGCCATTGATCATTGTAATCGTGACCCGTTGCTTGGATATATGTTACGTGATCCCTAGACCTAGACCATACACCCTTGACCGATGCATGTATACCGTCTATCCATACATCGACGGCGCGATAGTTACGACATGCCGCGGAGAAGCGGAGAGGCCGGAATGAACTCGTAATATTATGTTGCAGGAGTCTGGGTCAGGAGTCTACTGGGGAAAAGGGGCTCCCAGAATTTGACATGTGAAGTTACTGGTCGTGTGGCCAACATTTGTCTTGCGGTAGTATGCGCGCACCGATCTATGCATGACACGCACTCTCATGTACCCAAGTAGAGCAGGCACACTGTTTACTGTTTGCGGGGCAACTTCGCATACAACTATAAAACAGTGCCTGATGTAAAACTGAAGCACTGGCATCTGCACCTGCGCGTGTGCCTGATGTGTTGTTTGGATATGGCTGCTGCACGATTATGCTGCACACATTGTCAAGTTCCTTTTTGTGCGCTTGTGCACCTTGCTGCTAGATACTATAATGCTGTGCTTCATGTATCCAGGTATCTAAGGAACATTCTGCCATATGCCATTTGTCGTGCACACTGTATATCGCATTCAAGCACTAAGCAGTGGCCGCTTGAACTAGCGATTGTGATTATGATGTGTAGGTTTACTTCTTTTCGTTGGTAAAACTGACTCGGTTAGTAGTTGGCCAATGCTCATGGGGGCAATGACTTGCTCGATGGTTGCACACTTTGCTGGCAGGTCTACATTCACAGTGCTGAACAAGAGTGGTCCAGATAGAAAGATCATGCTTACAAGTAGCTGCGTACACTCTTGCAATGTGTATATGTATGTATGTTTGTATGTACGTATGTAGGTATGCATGTCTGTCGTCTGCTTGTTTGTCTGTATGTATTTATGTATACAGACTGCACACGCGTGCGCGCACGTGTGTGTGTGTGCGCGTGTATTGGTGTCTACTGCCTTACATGTGTTCATCGCTCGCTGTGATCCAATGCATGCATGTGTCTTTCATGATGACCATGAGGAATCGAAACTTTCAAAAGACAGCGGGGCAGGAAATCCTTAGCAGTACCTTCGCAGTTTAGTTATGCTGATGCGGCAGAGTACACCCTGTCGTGCACCTGCAGCAGACTGGACCCGATCCGCAACAAATATGACATTTTGCAATCAGGGATGCGACAGGTGCACCGATGCAGAACCATGTGCATGTTGCTGCTGATGAGTGCAACCTTGGCAGTGTGCATGCAATGTTTGGAAATTTCACTCATGTCTTGTAGCAGATGCATTTACGTCCCATGAGTGCGATTGCAAGTGCAACCATATTCAACGTTCCGCCATGTGTCGCAAGAGTTGTGTGTGTGTGTGTGTGCCTGTGTACGGGCATGCATGTGCGTCTTTGTGGTGTGGGTGTGTGTGAGGCAGCATACATCCACGAGAGATAGATGTACAGAGATAGATTCGCGTGAACGTGCATTGGTGGCGCATCTGCATGCAGAGACGAGTCACTATGCATGTTGCACGTGTAGTGTGTCGTTCGGGGCCGCCGATGCACATATCACGCGGTGCTTCACTTGAGTCCTTGAGACATGCACTGAGGCTAGTGCGACAGGTCACGTCGCACATCGCGGTTTCGAGCGGTAACACGCCAGAAGTTATGGCCTGGCTCGGCTGCAAGTCAGCGTATTGAGGAGTATTGGAACGAGTGGCATACGGCATGTGATATGTGTTGGGAAGACTAGGTGCCTGTCACCCTGCCTGTAACTCCTCTGAGACGCCCAAACACCAGTCAATGTCCGACCATTTTGCATGATCGGGTTGTGACTAAGGGCCTCTCCTCAACATCTGTATCGCCGCATTGGCAGAAGGCAGGCGATGGGAAGGCCCAGAATGCAGGGTGCTTGTCGGTGCCGTGGTCATCCCTCCAACGGTGTTCTGGGTGTCTGAAACCATCCTTCATGCTCCTACATTGAAAAACAGATTGATGTTTAGAGGCAAGTAAACAGTACGGACATGCCTCTGAGGATCGCCCGCATGCAAGGACTTCACAAGCCTTAGAGGCACATGAAGAGTTATGTACGATGAGTGCATGTAGCAAAGCTGGAAATGATCACCTCGGAGACATCCTCGGGTACGAAAGGCAAAAGAAGACACTCTACAGTGCCACAGTTCTGGAAGCATCCCAAATCCCTTATCGAGTCCAGCCTGCTGTGCTCAGGGACATCTGCTTGTTTGACTGTTCAGTTCGGTGATTGAATGGCCTTCAAAACCGGCGCCTGCTGCCTTCTTGCTCTGCTTGGCATCTGTGTGTGTGAGAAGGCCTGTTCGGGTGTAAGTATGTAAGAACTAAGCTTCTGACAACTTTACTCCCCTGTCGTCAATCCGTATGGTGTCCGTTCATATCCGCGCCTCAGCTTGATGTCAATTCAAAGCTTTGGAGAAGCGCTCACGTAAAGAACTCTTGCTGTCCGCATCTGTCTTGAGATGGACGGCATGAAAGAAGTAGTGCTCCCCGCTATACCTACGATGAATAGAGGGTGCTTGTCTGCTCAGCTGCACTGGCGCTCCTTCCGGACAACCCTGCTCGGAGACCCAGTGCTGAAGCGTCCTTGGGGCATCCGGCTGGCACTGAGACTGCTCGTGCACTTGACAAGGGGCTGTGACTGCTGGAATCTGACAAATGACTGGATCTCTACGCCAAGGATGTGGTAGCGTTGAGCAGTTGCATGGCAGCTTTGGAAGGCCCGACTTGGCAAGAGTGCATTGCACAATCCATCGTCTACAGAGTCTGCGGCCAGGCTGCACGGAGGCATGGCAGAAGGCAGTTGCTTTGCTGCGGCGCTGTGGGAGCGATGCCGACACTTGCCACACTTGGGTGCAGTTGAGGGCGACAAGGGGTGTACAGCTGCTGTCCAGTGGGCCACTGCCGTATGGCAGATCATGTGCTGTTGCTGCATTCAGCTCCCGGGACATAGAAGTCCTTGGTTGAGCACCCCCCGCAGCTGCCAGCGACACGGCCAAAAGCCAGGATGATGTTGCCTTCGGTGCCTGCAGCCTCCTCAGACATCGCCGGTCGCAAAGCATCACAGACCCATGCTTAGGTCTTCGGATGAATCGGGCGGTTTCGGTGTTCGTTGTTTGATGAAATCTCAATTAGCGACCGCTACTTACGGATGCGAAGGAGAGAGGATCCAACCGCAGAACTCTGCCAGCAAACAACTTGATGTGAATGTTGAACAGAATTGCGGAAAGTCAGTTGCTTTGGCATAAGCATTGAACGGCATTCGAAAAGAGCTTCAGGCATGAGCGCTTGCGGGCAGGAGCTGCAGTGGCAGCTGGCGCTGAGCCTTCAGCAGGAGTTGCTGAGGGCCGGAAAGACGATCGCGCTGGAAAGACGTGAGCATGCAGTGGGATTTTAGTGAAGAGGTTTTATTGTCAGGCATGTGCTCGTCACTTGACCTCGCTAGTTCCTGCTTCGGGAACGAAGATGCTCAGAATGCCTGAATCTACTTTCGACACAGCCGGCTTGCAGATCCCATCTGCCTTGGACCATCCCTTGCTAAGCCTTGAGGAGATGAAGCGCATGGCTTTGCGACCCAACGTGGTGACCTGGACTGCCTCGGGTTGCAAAATGTGAACACACATTCGCAGTTCAGGGTCTGCATTGAGTGTTCGGCCTTAGGGTTTGGGGCTCACGGGTTTAGCCCGATGCGAAATCGTTGGCTCCTCCACCGGCACTTCCTCATCATCACCCTTATAAATCCCAAATGGAAGCTTCCGAAAGGAAACTCCCATGTCTCGCTTTCTGTTGGGAAGTTCCTGCGCAGCAGGAGCTGCCTCGCCTCTGCTTGCGCAGCAGCGCAGGCCGTCCCCGAGGATTCTCTTCCGGAGTGCGGGCGTAGGCCGTGCGCATCCGTGCGCCGTGCTGCAACGAAGGCCTGGGCCGAGGCACTTTCAGTGGCCAGCGACGGGCCGAGGCAGCATGCGCAGGAGCTCGCACTTTCAGTGGCCACCGACATGAGGCAGCATGCACAGGCAGGGCGCAGGAGCTCCCAATCGGAGAGTCCGACCGCTGCGATGTGGTGATCTGCTGCTGCCAGGAGCCTCAGCCTGCAACAACAAGCGCGGCTGCAGCGGCATATGCGGTGCAAAGGCGACCCGGC